TTAAAATACGATTTGTAACCTATCCTTATACTGGATACAAAATGAATGATGTTGATACTTCTTGGATTACTAGTACTGTCGATGGAATCTACAAGCCAAATTTTGAATAAGAAAATAAAGACTTTGAAACACAGGAACTGAATACCCACAGATTAATAAAAATTGATGTTAAATTTTATTACTTTTTATTACTGCCTTTGGATGTTATATTTAATAGTTTACTTATTATTATTGTTAATTCGGTTCCATTGCTTCAAAGTACTTTCTCCTTCCTTCTTCACAAACCTGACATTTAAAATGACATTTTCGCCTCAGGGATGGCTGGCTGTAGGAATTTACCATATTAATGGGAATTACACAGGTACAAATGATGGAACCCATTTAAACATACAACAGTTATATTGGGGTAGCCCTGTAGTTGTAAAGTTACCTGCAGACCAATCCGGGTGGGTGGGTGGAAATAGATTAAAACATTCAGAATTTGTTATTCCTTGAGTATTCTCTGCTGTGTGAAAATAACAACACTTTGATTGATCGGGTTGTTTTCTTGTGTTAGGTGTTTGAAAATTACACATACAACTGCAATTTATAGTTGCCACTGTGATCTACTCTACTAAAATCATTGGGCCGAAAAAAAAATTACTTTTTTGATAAAAAAAAAAAAAATTGGAAAATAAACAGAAGATAAAAGTTTACTGGAGATTATGGCCCTTATTGAAAGTTTATAACTTTTCCCATGTAGTTTGTGTACATGGGATTAGGACAGAGCAGACGTCAGCACACTTGTGTTAAATGCACTACAAGTCTGACTATGAGATTATGAATAAGAATGGAGAAAAAATAAATGTATGAAGTTAAATGACAAGCCTTTAAATGACATTTGAAACATTTATTTCAAATAATGACTGGAGGCAAGTTGACTCATTAATAAGATGATAGAATATATAAGGTAATTTTTTGAAAGAAGTTTTATGTTTAAAACATAAGTATGATAGTGAAATAAACAATCATAGTTAGTTGTTTTTATGATATAATTTATGATGTAGCAAATAATTAATTGTAAATTTGATTTATGAGAAAAGGAAAACTTAATATTTTTTTTTAAATTCAGATCTCTAATGAACAGTTTGTGAACATCTTAGTTTAGTAAACTGAACTTTGTGTCACATCAAAGCTATTACAACAGACATTTTGTCTGGAAGAGAAAAATGAAAGAATAGTAATGATTTTCTCTTGAACGGAACTCTTCAGAAAGTGAGTCATGAGCTGTGATGTGCGGTGAGAGTAGATGATCAACTGCTGAAGCAGGCTCTGCCAACTTCGATGCCAAACTCCTGTTCGCTGCTGCCCACATCTCTGAGGCCTACATCGATAATTGGCACGTGCTGCATGCCTTGATCCTTGCCCCGGACTTCTACAGTTGCGTAGCCCCATTGGCCATCCTTGTTCTGAATGTACAGAAACAGAAAATATTATTAGAAATTAAAAGGTTGGATAACAAACCTTGAAAATCATAATCATCATCATGTGCCATGCTGATAAGTGTAAGTAAGTGAGTAAACAACCTTTTTCTATGCCTTCGTGCATACTGGGTATATATGGTTAGACTTTAGAAGGTGACCGTGGAAAAGTGGTCAAGCAGTTATCCTCATGCTCTGAAGGTCATGGGTTCATTTTATAACTGCAATTTTTACAGAGATCCATGGGAATCGTCACCTGAGCTACAGAGTTTGTGCTCTGTGTAATGATCTCGGCAGGTGGCTAGCCATTCTGCAGAGTAAGACTGAGCCACGTGGGATAAAACTTGGTGTAATGAAGTCCATCCTCTCAACTTTGACCTTTTCAGACCTATGCCTTATAGACCAATCGGCACTCGGTCGTAGATGAGGTCAACATGACGGCTGCTAAGTGTAGGTTGTCAGTTTCACCATCCCACATGATCGCTATAGTCACAGATCAGATCAGTGTTCTTGTCTGGCTTCATCCATATAGCTAAGCCATCCTGGTAGTTATCTCGTTGCCTTTCTCTTGCTCTTTCCCCATCAATCTTGCCAGTCATGACCAAGTCCTCGAATCCATTCATGCTCATAAAAAGTTCACACATAAATTTCGACATACATATAATCAAGATCTGTCTAACAGATGTGCATGTGAGACGTAAGTCCTGGAACAAAACTAAAGTTCAGAAGTGAAAGAACAACCAGAACTTTCTGCTGAAGTTTACAGCCAGTGAATATATAGAAGATGTGAATTCTTTTAGATTTTAGATCTTTCTCTTAAGTACACATACTGTAGGACATAACGTATAGCAGGACATAACATATTGCAGGACATAACATATTGCAGGACATAACGTATTGTAGGACATAATGTATTGTAGGACAATGTATTTTAGGACATAATGTATTGTAGGACATAGCGTATTGAAGGACATAACATATTGTAGGACATAATGTACTGTAGGACATATTGTATTGTAGGACATAATGTATTGTAAGACATAATGTATTGTAGGACATAATGTATTGTAAGACATAACTTACTGTAGGACATAACATATTGTAGAACATAACACACTGTAGGATATAGTGTACTGTAAGACATAACATACTGTAGGACTTAACGTATTGTAGGACATAACATATTGCAGTAACAACCACCTGGGACTGACTGACTGAGAAAAGATACGTGTATGAAGACAAAAAGGAAAAAAAACACCTCCGGCCTCACCTTGCAATTGTCTTCAACAACCTTATATCTGTTAGGCTGTCTGCCATGAACTGTCAGCTCATCCTCACTGAAACTGACCAGCCTCAGAGCATTGTCATAGGAGTTGTTCCTGCCGTCAAACACAGCCACCATGTTCTTGCAGTGAATGGTGATGACCTGGCGAGATCGTTTCGTGTGGTACTGCAGGAATTTGATCTGCGATTTCTCCGTCTGGTAAGAGAACTGTGGAAAATATTCCAGTTTTAATTTATGAACTGCACAAACTGCACTGCAAAACAAACAGGTAACAACTGATAATAGATAATAACAAAAATAAAACAGAAATAACTTCTTCTTATCATTCAACAACCGTAAACTCTGGCAGAAAGTTCTGGTTGTTTGCCCACTTCTGAACTTGTCCCAGTAGCTGAGTATTCCATCCACATCCTTTTCACAGATCTGATGTATTTGTTTGCAGACTGTTGGTTCCTTGCCTCTCTCTCAGGCAGATGCACTTCTAGTTCAATGGAAGCTACCAATTAGTCAACTCGTACGACATGCTTATTGGGGGGAATGGGGTGTGGTTGGTAGAGGGGGGAGTGGGGTGTGGTTGGTAGAGGGAGAAGTGGGGTGTGGTTGGTAGAGGGGGAGTGGGGTGTGGTTGGTAGAGGGGGGAGTGGGGTGTGGTTGGTAGAGGAGGGGAGTGGGGTGTGGTTGGTAGAGAGGGGAGTGGGATGTGGTTGGGAGAAGGGGCAGTGGATCTGTTCTTGTTTTCCTTACAACATGTTTCCAGTGTCAATGTCAGCCTTAGACACAAATAGCAGAGGAAAAGAGACAAATTGAAACAACAGTTTTGGAATGTCTGCAACAAACTCTAAATGTAACAAAAAGAGAAATCCAACATTATATCAGGAGATGGAGATAGCTTTGGTGTTAGGCTAAAGTTTTTACATTTGTGTTGTCTCTAGAATTGATTGCCTACAGTGTAAATGTGCACCCACTGCTGTTTTAGGGAATGTTATACTGCTATAATGTGGCTTGAGACCATATCCAGAAACAATAGATGAGATGGTTTGGTCAGGTATGAAGATTATCACAAGACAATAGCTTACAAAGTCCTCTAGCTCTTGGACACAACTTCAAATACTTAAGCTCCATAAACAATAAGGGAAACTGTTCAATAGAAATGAAGTTAAACAAAATGGCAGCTACTCACTTCAGGCCCTGAAAAGTGCTCTGCAAACATGGCAAACTCAGCACCAGACGGTCTGCTTGAAAACCAGGCCTTTCGTTCGTACTGTAGACAATAAAAATGGGGATCACATTTACACAGCTGTTTATATTCCTAGTGTTTTCTTTTTTCATTACCAACCATTTTAAGTTTCTATTATTTTTAGTACATCAGTTCAGCTCTTTCAGCCTAACGTGTGATATGAAAGGAATCCCCGAATCTTAGATATATTTTTTTCTTCTGATAAATTTTACAGTATTTTACATCTTGTTTTTCACTAATCTATTTCTGTGTTTCAGTGCTATAATTTAAAGAGGCATCTGCTGGTAGCCTTATTATGTGCTAGGTAGATGCTAGTGTTTATGTCCTCGGATATTCCATCTATCCATCGCTAGCTTGGGTGACCTCTTGTTCTGCTTCAATTATGTTTAAGGGACATGGTTCTTTTTAGTGAACTCTGGTGGTAACCTTGACACATGTTAAAACCATTTGATCTCTTGTCTCTTGAGGTAGTTTAATACTGGTTCCTTCCCAATTTATTTCCTGATATTGTCATTTCTGATCCTGTCTCTACTTGTAGCAATTGAGATTAATCATACACATTTCTTTGTCTCTGTTTCAATTTCTCTATATCCTTTTGTTGTAAATGTTTGTGTGTAGACTGGTACCACAATGCTCACTAAAAAATGATTAAAAAAAGGAATTGCTGTATTGATTTTGGAATCAAATGTGACATATTCTTCAAAATTTGTGAAATCTGTCCAATTATTTGATCTGCTTTACTACATCTGTTATATATCTCTGCTTTCACTTTTCCACTGGATGATACTATGCTCTACAGATACTGGAAATCTTCTGCTAGCTTAAATTATTGGTTTTCTTTGCATATCTTGATTGGTTTATATATTTCATTTTATAAGTTTCAATATTTATATACTAACAATTATGCATAAGAGGAGATAAAAAAATATGCTACCAGTTAAAAAAAAAAAAAAGTAGAAAATCTGGAAGTACCAAACAAGGTCAAGAATACATAAAAAGTAGGATCTGAAATACTGACCTGTTCAGAATAGGGAACTAAACATGTTTGTGCTTTCTCCACACTGTCAGCAAATCTGCAGAAGACCTGGAAGGCATCTGATGTAGCTCCACCGTTAGGATCAATCCAGTACATGCCTGCAATTATTATGTTCTGTATTAATGTTTGATCAAAATGAAACAATCCAGTCATGATTTCAATTAACTTGTGCTATAATATTATATATGAAAACTCCCAGTGTGAGTTCCAGGGTCTAATATGAAAGGAGGGGGGGGGGGGGGGGGGGGGGGGGGGGGGGGGGGGGGGGGGGGGGGGGGAGAACCCACTGCTCTCTAACAAGCATGTCCTAAGAGTCTACTGATTCAGGGTTTCCTTTAATGTCAGAGTGAATCTGGAACTAGCAGTCTGCATACAAATAAGCATGATCATCTGACTTTCTACCCCACCAGGACATCACACAAGCGATAAACACCAGATGACACAAAATCCCACCATGTGGATGAGGATCACCGTGGAGAATTCCCAGAAACCGCGTTCAGCCATTAAGCCATATTCATGGCCAGACTATATTGCGGCCCCCGGTAAGAGCCAGAGTAGGATTCAAATACCAAAAAATTTCATCCTTAAAAGGACGGTGAATAAAAAATGACAAATTCTGGAACAAGAATAAAGTACATAAGTTAATGAATAACCATACTTCCACCAGTTTACAGATGGTGAATGTGAAGAAGAGGAAAATAAAAATATTAAAACATCTTTGTTCAACTAAGTGAGAAACAAGGAGCAGCAGGAAGATGTGATTAATAAAAGGATGAAGCGGAAAAGAAAGAGTAAAAAGAGAAGAAAAAAAGAAAGGGAAAAAAAAAAGGCCAGAATTGCAGAATTTATGCCCTAAGCTGAGATTCCTTGTGTGAATCTAAGAGAGAAACTTAGACCACTTATGGAAATGTCTGTGTGCATAGAGGGTGATGCTTTATCAGATAAAAGCCAAGAAGGAGGGAAGGAAGGAAGAGGAGGAGGAAGAAGAAGAATAAGAAGAAGCAGAAAAAGAACAAAAAAAAAAAAAAAAGAAGAAAAAAGAAAAGAAAAAAGAAGAAGAAGAGGAAGAAGATCCACAAACATATAAATACGCACCGCTTTTGAGTTTCTTGTCAGATGCAGCAGCAATCTCCTTGCAAGTTTTACCTGGAGCATCTCTCTGTCCTGTTGGCTTCGTCACCTTCACAATCTCCTCTGTGACCTGTTCAAGGGTTTCCAGGCTTTCTGTGCATCCTCATTATCAGGAGCATCTCTCTGGACACAGATAAGAAATTTATGGATGGTCATTGATTACAAAACACAGGAATGTGCCAAGGAATCAAACGGTGATCATCTAAGATAGTCAGATGGATAAAGCCATTGAACTGTAACCATAACAAGCCATTACTGTGTTTGCTGCAGGTCATCACCTTTGACTCCTTCAGTCCCAAGCAACTGTTACTTTAACTCCTTAATCTTCAAGGAGTTGAGCTAAATTTAGTATACACTTTGGTCTGGATATGTTTAACAGAGATGCTACGGAACAAAAACAGTTAAACTTCTTCTTCTTCTTAGCATTCACCAGCTTTAAACTCCTGGGGGAAAATTGTGCTTGTTCGCCCACTTCTGGACTTTGGTCTTGTTCCAGAACTTGTGTTTTGCATGCACATTCATGTCACAGATCTGGCTTAGTTGTACACAGACTGCTGGTTCCTTGCTTCTCAGGCAGATTCACTCTGACTTCAAACGATCCCCTCTAATTAGTCAACTCTATTGACATGCTTTCTATGGAGGCAGTGGGCCTAATCCATCCCCCCTCTCCCCCATGGGGCCCTGGATTACACACAGGGAGTTATACGAATAATTCAGACATTAAAGGTAAATATAACCTCTGTCTGTAAAAACAGGCCACAAGAGTCCCATGTATTCTTAGGAATAACCAAGGAACGTTCTTCTGGTTCTGAAAGAGTTAATACAACTGCCAAGTTCGCTGGTTGAGAGTGCCAGTTTTCATGTCTCTGCCGTTTGATACTCACCTGGTAGCCATCTTCACCCTTATAGCCTCCCCCATTGGTCCATCTCTGAATGGCAGACGCATACACAGACTGCCCTGGGGGTCCCTGAAATATGAAAATGTTGCAGAATTGAAAATGACATCAATGCCTGTACAACAATACACGAGAACAATATTTGACTTGAACAACCAAACAGAAGAGTTTTGTTTGACTTTACAACTGAAAATAAGAAAATTGTTTGACTTTTATAGTGAAAAAGAGAACATAGTTTGACTTCTACAACTAAATGCAAAAACACTGACTAACTTATATAAATAAATACATGAACATTGACTAAGTTGTACAGCTAAATACAAAAACATTGTTTGATCTGTACCATTAAATAAAATAAAAGTGTGCTGAATGAGTGGAATTATAGCATCATACATTATTGACACTGTATCTGCACTGAATAGTTAAGCAATTATTTAGATCATTGCAATTAACAATAATTACAACAATATAAATATTATGGAAATGCACACAAATATTGTGAAAGTATAAAGCAATTATGGAGTAATAGCAGCCCAGTAGTTTGCCTTCCTAGATGGTGGGCCAAGTATCAATCCTGAGCAGAAGCAAGATGATTTTTTTAAAGACTTTTATTTTTTCCTCGCAGTTGAACCAGCTCCATAAAATATGAGTAAATAAAATAAAGAATCCATTTGATTCCAGTGGCCCATTGTGCATTCAGTGCTTTCATAAATGGATGCCAGAAAATTTCCAGAATCATCTGGTAAAGTGATGTAGAAGAGAACTGGCCACCCATATCAAAATCCTGTGGCCTAGTAGATGTCAAGGTGGAACTCTTCATCCTCCAGAAGCTAATTCTGCCATGTAGCTGCTTACTATTTTTGTTATAATAATTACAGTTATACTGAACAAAAATACATCTGACATTGACAATCTTTCTTTCTTTGTTGTTCCTACTACTAATGCCATAAAGTGCCGCAGACAGGAGTTAGTTATACCTTCCTGTCTTTTGCTAGTCATGTAGCTTGTGTTAATTTCCTACTGCATTTCTGTACTTGATGATGATGTATGATAGCAGACACCAACAGACAAATCTACAAGACAGTTACTTACTGGTGCACCTGGTCTGCCTGGATCCCCCTGGGGTCCCTAGAAGGAAGAAAAGACTAGAATAGTCAAGCAGTAAAGTGATGTAGTAATACAAATTATAATACAGTAGAGTGATGTCATAATATAGTACAGTGATATCATAATACAGTAAAGTACTGTCATAGTACAGTAGCATGCTGTCATAATACAGCAGAGTGTGGTCACAATACAGTAGAGTGATGTCACAATACAGTACAGTCCTGTCATAATACAGAAGAGTGATGTCAAAATACAGTACAGTGCTGTCATAATACAGAAGAGTGATGTCACAATACAGTACAGTGTTGTCATAATACAGAAGAGTGATGTCACAATACAGTACAGTCCTGTCATAATACAGAAGAGTGATGTCACAATACAGTACAGTCCTGTCATAATACAGAAGAGTGATGTCACAATACAGTACAGTCCTGTCATAATACAGAAGAGTGATGTCACAATACAGTACAGTGCTGTCATAATACAGAAGAGTGATGTCACAATACAGTACAGTGCTGTCATAATACAGAAAGTGATGTCACAATACTGCAGAGTGTAGCTTGTAATAGAGCAGATGCTGTCATAAAAGTGAAGTATACTGTCACAATACAGTAGAGTACTAGTGTAATACAGTAGTGTGCTGTCACAGTTAGGTAGAGTGCTGTCAAAATATGTAACCAACCACCGTATTTGTGTAAAATCAATTTTTTTTTTTTTTTTTTTTAAGCTTCCCTCACTTGTCTTGCATATTTAATGCTTGTCTGTGAATCAAGTCATGTCAAAAATGGTACTTTGTAACACATGCAAAAATAAAAAAATTGTAACTATCTCAGTGGAATTGAGGACATATTTGACAATTTACCCTTCGTCCATCCTCTCCAGCAGGTCCTCGAGGTCCCTGGAAAATAGTTTAAACAATGTTCATATTATTCTCAAACCTTTTCCATAAATTATTTTTAATTTCCCTGGCTTCCCAGGTTGACCTATGCTAAATATAGTAAAAAGGTTTCAAGAGAAAAACTGGCAGCTGCCATGGTGTCAATCACATGATCCATCGAGTGCCATATGGTCTATAAAATCAATGCATGCACAGAAAACCTCAAGGTACAGAAACAGTTCAAATTTTTTGTTACAAACCCTTCCTCTGTCCTTCAACCCATTAAACAAAATTGCAATTCTCCTGACGTTCTTCAGATTAAGAAAAACTGCCTTTATTGCCAATAGTTAGGACTTTTCAAGCTGGTGTATGACAGGAGGGGAGACATCTTAAACTGGAGACTTAGAGCCTCAAGACTTGTTCCATCATCCTGGACTGTACAGGTTAGGACTATTTATTTTTGCCCCTGACAGGATTTATTTCCTTTACTTTATCAAGGATTTGACCCTGAGTTTCCAGAATGATTACAATCTAACTACTTGGCCAGATACTCTTTTTGTTCATCAGATAAACATCTGTGTGCTAGATGTTTAACTCGTCCAGACACAGCTTTAACACGATTTCTAACTTCTATAATTTGTATGCAGACTTATAAAGTTGCTTCAACTGTCTAATATTTAAAAGAGGTCTATTAAAAGCTGCTCAGTTGTATGTCCTATATATGAGGCCATAAAAAAAAAATGTTAAAAACACAGGCGAACTTGGTGTGAGAGGTAACATGAGGGGTGAGTTTTATTCCGAGGCTGAATAAACATTGCTTATAAAATGACAGCCTCACAAGGTCATGCAGTATGAGCATGATGGTGGAAACAGTTATGGCAGTTTCTAGAATGACTGCAGAGTAACAGAGCTCAACACATTGTCAATGTAACAGTTGCAAATCATGCTTAGGAAAATTAAAATAGTTGTCCTACAAATAGAGTGGCTACCATTACTTAAAAAGATCCATACTGACATCACAGATTGTCTGCCCAAGACATACAGGTCGGTGAGATTATGAGCAGGCCGATAGACTACCTGCTGTTGTACATCTGGACGGTGAGCTATTTTATAAGGCAGATTTTGTGAAGGCTGTCTGTGATCAAGTGGAATGTACAACAGAAAAGAGTATTGATATCTGGAGAGACTGATCCAACAGGAAATAAACACAGGATCTAGAAAATTTGTGAGTGTGCAAAAGAAATGGCCTTTTTATAAAGTTGCATCAGACACCATCAGTATAGGCACTCTGCATGGCTACTGAAAAAGGGGGCACAGCATCTATGGGAATGTCCCCGGAATGCAGTGACGTTAATACTTGGTTTGTTTGTTTATTCAGTATAAAATGTCTCTTATAAAAATAAAAAAAATAGAAAGATCTTAGACAGACAGGACTAAATAAACACATTTTAAAATGTTTTCAAACATAAACAAGCTTACAAACATGGGTTTAGGGAGTCACAGTGTTGAAGTGAGACCCGAAGGTCACAGGTTCAAATCTGCACTGAGTCAAATTTTTCAAAAAAAAAAACATGGTTTCCAGGCCTATCCAACCTAAAATGGGAATGGGAAAAGTCTGGCGAAGTAAAGGTGGCTTGCTTGATGTTGACAACATCACCCAATGAGTGTTGATTGGTCAATGAAATATAGGTCGAGCACTATATACCCAACAATCCTTTACTTTCCTTACTTACATGTGTGTTTATAGCAGATACATAAGTTAATCTGGTCCTGACCATTAGTCTGAGAAACTAGTCTAATTAATACTTACAACAGGTCCAGGGGGTCCCTCTGGTCCATCTTCACCATCAGGACCAAGTGGGCCTCTCGGGCCATCAGGACCCTGAAAACAAAAAAGAAGACATTGAAATATACCAGAGAAAACTCTTGATCATTATGAAGCAGTCCCTTACACACACCGCTCACAGCAGGATGTTATACAAAACCTATAACTACTTTACCCTGCAAATGCTAAAATAAGTCATGAAACCAGTAAAAAATCCCCCCCCCCCCCCCCCCCAACACAAACACACACACACACACAAAACGCATACTGCACAGGTGACTGATACATTTTCTACAGATTAATTTTTCTGCAGTTGTAATTTTATTCCAAAACATTTTAAAAAATATATAAAGGGGCAATAAGTGAACAAAGTGAGGCATAATATAAAATACATTCCATGGGGCCTAAAAACTAATATATACACACACACACACATATATATATATATATATATATATATATATACACACCTATATTTATAGGGTAACTAATGCCATGACCTCTGGCCTCTATCCCTGAGGCTTATGGGAAATGTGATTTCTGCTTGGCTTTAAAAAAAAACTCAAGGCTATTTGCCTCAAAGGACCACTTGCCCCGCCAAATACTATTTTTTTGGTTGATGCAATAAAATTCTGACATCGTAAACATATAAAAACAGCCAACAGCATTAACTTTGCGTCCCGTAAACAGGTCTGTATAGACAAGTAGGTTAAGTAACATTTATGGGGAACTCTTGCCTTGTCCATTCCAAGAGAAAGACTTGCCTAGTCTTGCAACTAACTAGTTATTCTTTTTGGGTATTCTATCTAAAATCAGAATCAATGTATAATTCTTGATTCACTGGAATAAGTCTAGTTTTCTACATTAACTCTTCAAATAGTTCTGTATTATCGTCTCAGTCCTTGTCTACGCAGGCAACTGTCCTAGATGAGTTCAAGAACAATACCTTAGGGCCTGGAGGTCCAGGTGGTCCTCGTGGGCCGGAATCTCCCGGTGATCCCTGTAAAGATAAAATGTCAACCACCATGAAGAAGCACGTTAAAAAAATACATTTTCCAAAACAAAAGTAATTTAGACATCAAATGAATGGATTACATGAACGATTTATTTAAAAAAAATTTTTTTTATATAAATTAGCTAAAACTATAATTTCAGAGATAAAAAATTGCATAAATCAACTGTAGTGATAAATTAACAAATTGAATACATGCTAACAATTATGTTTAAAAAAAAAAACTGAATTAAAGAAACTTTTACAAGAAAAACTACTATAGCAATTTTCTTCTTGTGGGGAAGTAGAACTATTAAAATTATTTTCTTATCAATATTTTTGTTACTTACCTGACAGGAGAGAAAAGATGAATCACTTGTTAAAACTACCAGCTACAGTCCTCTGGGACATGCCCTGTGATCCAGGTATCAACCTACCTCTGGGACATGCCCTGTGATCCAGGTATCAACCTACCTCTGGGATATGCCCTGTGATCCAGGTATCAACCTACCTCTGGGATATGCCCTGTGATCCAGGTATCAACCTACCTCTGGGACATGCCCTGTGATCCAGGTATCAACCTACCTCTGGGACATGCCCTGTGATCCAGGTATCAACCTACCTCTGGGATATGCCCTGTGATCCAGGTATCAACCTACCTCTGGGACATGCCCTGTGATCCAGGTATCAACCTACCTCTGGGACATGCCCTGTGATCCAGGTTTCAACCTACCTCTGGGCCGTCCAGACCTGGCAGGCCTGGCCATCCTGGGTCACCCTTGTCTCCGTTATCTCCAGGTTCTCCGTCTTCACCCACGGGGCCCTTGAGGCCCTTGCCGTCCCTGGCGATCACAGTGCACAAATGTAAACATTTACTCAGTCAGTACCATATACTTCACTTTAAAAAAAATAAACAAATTTCTGTGCCATCTCCACAATAAAGGTTTGCTACAGTGTACCCACTGTTGTCTTTGGGAACATTATGTGGTGAGAGTCCAGTCTCTTCCACAATGCGACCCTCGTACAGTTCTCCTGAAAACCATGACATTTTTTTAAAAATCCGTTCTTCATGGAAAACGAACTCTAGTACTCAAGGATCGTGAGATTGTTAACCGCATTCTCAAGCCTCTAAGTCACAATTGACTATGCAATTGTACAGTTACCCTTTAGATGACAAGATTTCCTCAACTTCCAAAGTGCCCCATTGAGCTGTTTAACCCATTTTAGCCCACCAACAAACCAGATCACTGACTCATTCATCAATTTAATCTACCAAGAAACCAGATCACTGACTCATTCATTCATCCATTGAATCCACCAACACACCAGATCACTGACTCATTCATTCATCCATTGAATCCGACACACCAGATCACTGACTCACTCATTCATCCATTGAATCCACCAACACACCAGATCACTGACTCATTCATTAATCCATTGAATCCACCAACACACCAGATCACTGACTCATTCAATAATCCATTGAATCCACCAACACACCAGATCACTGACTCATTCATCAATTGAATAAACCAACACACCAGATCACTGACTCATTCATCAATTGAATCCACCAACACACCAGATCACTGACTCATTCAATAATCCATTGAATCCACCAACACACCAGATCACTGACTCATTCAATAATCCATTGAATCTACCAACACACCAGATCACTGACTCATTCAATAATCCATTGAATCCACCAACACACCAGATCACTGACTCATTCATCCATTGAATCCAGCAACACACCAGATCACTGACTCATTCATCCATTGAATCCACCAACACACCAGATCACTGACTCATTCATCCATTGAATCCACCAACACACCAGATCACTGACTCATTCATCAATTGAATCCACCAACACACCAGATCACTGACTCATTCATTCATCCATTGAATCCACCAACACACCAGATCACTGACTCATTCATTCATCCATTGAATCCACCAACACACCAGATCACTGACTCATTCTTTCATCCATTGAATCCACCAACACACCAGATCACTGACTTATTCATCCATTTAACAGACCCATTCCCCTTAACAAGCATGTCATGAAAGACACCTAGTTAAGGTTTTGCTGAAAGCAGACGTGTTGGACCAAAAAGAGGCAGGCATCACAGCCTAGCTGTAAATAACAACAGAATGTGCCATTTGACTTCCTAAAGGAGAACAGAAGCAGCAGCAGCAGCAGCAGAAGGAGAAAAAAGAAGGAGAAAGAGAAGAAGAAAAAAGAGAATAAGAAGGAAAAGAAAAAGGAGAAAAAGAAGAAGGAGGAGGAGGAGAAGAAGGATGAAGAGAAAAGAAAGAAGAAGCAAGTTACAACTGAATGAATTCTTACAAGGCCTTGTAACAGAGCCAGTGATTAGTGAGAACTATAATCATCACATGACTAGACAGATCCATAAAGATAGTGACTGAGCAGGTTAGTGAGTGATTATGTGTATGATTAACAAATTCACTGAACAAGACAATGAATGATTTAAAAATGTCACGATTGGATTACTAACAGGCACATGTGAAACAAAGTACTCAGAAATATTAAATACATGGTGGATTGTTTCATAAAAACATAAAACATACAGGAGATCCTGCAGGTCCAGCTGGTCCTCTTGGTCCTTCAGGTCCGGTCTCACCCTATTTGAGGAAGACAAAGATGAAAGAATCAACAAATCAATCTAGCATGTGTTATTTACTGTTATTTATGTGTATATATGCTACGTCATCATTTTTCGGCCATGTTATGAGAAGAGGGAAAATAGAACATGTTGTGACCACTGGAAAGATCTGTGGAAGGAGGGATAGAGGAAGACAACGATAGAAGATTCTTGACAGTCTTGTTGCATGGCATGGAGGTGTGTCAGCACACGAACTGATATATGCTGCAGGAGATCGCAGATTGTGGAGAGGCATGATTGCCCACGCCAGTGGGCAAGGCACCGATGATGATGATATATGATGATATATGTTACTTCTGTGTCAGTTGTTACATGTGTGGCTGGCTGTATTTCTGCAGTATTCAGTAACATATGTGATTGACTGTACTTCTATATCAGTCAACTAAACATGTGTGATTGACTGTACTTCTATATCAGTCAATTAAACATGTGTGATTGGCTGTACTTCTATATCAGTCAACTAAACATGTGTGATTGACTGTACTTCTATATCAGTCAACTAAACATGTGTGATTGGCTGTACTTCTGTATTAATCAACTTAACATGTGCAGTTGGCTGTTTTTCTGTATTGGGAAATGTTGGGAAATGAACAGGCAAATTGGCTGGCTCTGCACCCCTTGTTTGACAAGTTAGATATTGTGAGGGCCCTTTGGGTGCGAGTAAACATTGCGGAAGTGCAGACAGATAATTACAGTCTAAGGAGAATGGCGCTGTGAGGAGTTACCATGGGATCTGGCTGATGCTTAACACTCAGGGGAAAGATGAGATGGATATACAATCAGACGGTTACTGGTACCATCAGAATATGAACTTTTCACTTGCTGCTGAAGATGAGAACAAAGCACTTATGGAAGTGTCGTGAGTGCTGTGATATCGATTCTTAATTCAACATTCAACATTTACTTCTGTAATTTCCAGAACATTTCATGGTTTACATTTTTAGAATATCATGATCTGGAAAGAATGGTGCAGTGGAAAGCAATTATGGGATGTGGCCAATGCTCAACACTTAGATGAAAGGCCAGTTGGATACACAATTATAATGCTACTGGTATTTCAGGAATGGAACTCTGTGCTGGTTTCTGAAAGTATGGACGGAGTACTTATGGGAATGTCACGAGTGCTGTGATGATAGAACCCAACCCAACCGTTTTAGTTTGAGTCAACCTGGAAGTCCTATGAAAGAAGTTTTAAACCTATCACAAGTGGGTAAGCAGGCAAAAGTTCTAGGCACTCTAGTAATATAGTTTCAACTAAGTCAATGGTCCCTGTTTCATCTCCAGAAGTGGCAGGATTATGTTTCTTTTATGAGTAATATAGACCATAAATCGACCGTGCCTCATACAAATTTCAGAACTATTTAGGAAGTGTCTGGGAAGAAAGAAGACGGGAAAAGGCAGTTTCTGCTCTAGCCTCATTATGCAGTGGCCCAGAATCCTACAGAAGATCTAACTGCAACCACATCTAACCTCATTTTTGCATGTATAATTTAATTAGCAGTGTTATCATGAATTTTTATTTTTTAAACCAAAATCTCACCCGAGGTCCCCGGTCCCCACTAGGTCCAGGACTTCCTGTTGATCCCGTTAGTCCTTGTGCACCAGGGCTGCCTGGACCTCCAGGTAGTCCCAGCTCCCCATCAGGTCCTCTTTCTCCTGGACTGCCTGGAGTTCCTGCAGATCCAGGGCTGCCTGGCTGGCCCTGAAAAAAATGCAGATGCAAAAGAGAAGAATTTACAATAAAATACACATGACAAAATTAGGCTTTTAATTTTAGCAGGTAACGTTTGAATTTTTTTTTTTAAATATAGCAGAAAAAATGTGTAAAAACATATGCCATTTTTTTAAAAAGTGTAAGCAGCTGAATAACAAAAGTTTTTACTGTGAGCATAGACTTATTTGTGCTTTTTTTAAAAGCATGAAGAAGAAAGAAGAAGAAAGACAAAAGGAATAAAACATGACAGCATGAAAATGCATAAAAAAAAAAAATTACGAAACAAAGGAGAAAAAATTAAAAATATATGAGAGAAAGAAAATTACAAAGCTAGAACTGAGTAAGAAAACAAGTCTGTCAAGACTAAAGAAATGAAGAAGACAAGAGAACAAGAAAAAAAAAAAAAAAAAACTGAGGGTAGAAAAAAAATGCAAAGGAAAATAAGAAGGAAAAAGTCAAAGGATAATAAAATGACAATAATCATACCAAAAACAAATTTAGAATTAATGAAACCAAATAAAATTAGGAATAAAAGAAAAATGAACTCACTGGAGACCCGGGTTCGCCTGTGGGTCCCTGGGGTCCGGGTACCCCGATATCACCTGGCTTGCCCTGGTATCCATCAATTCCTGGACAAATATATACCAAACTGTTTTACATTTATTTCCCTTTAATTACTTTTCAACAAAACGGATTGATCTCTCATACCAAAGCCCAGATGGAGGCAATGAAAGAAATAATCTATAATCTCTTGGATGCAAGCCCAGATGGAGGCAATGAAAGAAATAATCTATGATCTCTCAGATGCAAGCCTAGATGGAGGCAATGAAAGAAATAATCTATGATCTCTCAGATGCAAGCCCAGAACGAGGCAATTAAAGAAATAATCTATAATTTCTCAGATGCAAGCCTAGAACGAGGCAATGAAAGAAATAATCTATGATCTCTCAGATGCAAGCCCAGAACGAGGCAATGAAAGAAATAATCTATGATCTCTCAGATACAAGCCCAGATGGAGGCAATGAAAGAAATAATCTATAATCTCTCAGATGCAAGCCCAGATGGAGGCAATAAAGTAAATAATCTATGATCTCTCAGATGCAAGCCAAGACGGAGGCAATAAAAGAAATAATCTATGATCTCTCAGTTGCAAACATAGATGGAGGCAATGAAAGAAATAATCTATAATCTCTCAGATGCAAGCCCAGATGGAGGCAATGAAAGAAATAATCTATGATCTCTCAGATGCGAGCCCAGACGGGGGCAATGAAAGAAATAATCTATAATCTCTCAGATGCAAGCCCAGATGGAGGCAATGAAAGAAATAATCTATAATCTCTCAGATGCAAGCCCAGAATGAGGCAATGAAAGAAACAATGATGCAAGCCCAGAACGAGGAAGTGAAAGAAATAATCTATGATCTCACAGATGCAAGCCCAGAACGAGGCAATGAAAGAAATAATCTATAATCTCTCAGATGCAAGCCCAGATGGAGGCAATGAAAGAAATAATCTATAATCTCTCAGATGCAAGCCCAGATGGAGGCAATGAAAGAAATAATCAATGATCTCTCAGATGCAAACCTAGATGGAGGCAATGAAAGAAATAATCTATAATTTCTCAGATGCAAGCCCAGATGGAGGCAATGAAATAAAAAATCTATAATTTCTCATACCAAAGCCCAGACGGAGGCAATAAAAGAAATAATCTATGATCTCTCAGATGCAAGCCCAGACGGAGGCAATAAAAGAAATAATCTATGATCTCTTAGATGCAAACCCAGATGGAGGCAATGAAAGAAATAATCTATAATCTCTCAGATGCAAGCCCAGATGGAGGCAATGAAAGAAATAATCTATGATCTCTCAGATGCGAGCCCAGACGGGGGCAATGAAAGAAATAATCTATAATCTCTCAGATGCAAGCCCAGATGGAGGCAATGAAAGAAATAATCTATAATCTCTCAGATGCAAGCCCAGAATGAGGCAATGAAAGAAATAATCTATAATCTCTCAGATGCAAGCCCAGAACGAGGAAGTGAAAGAAATAATCTATGATCTCTCAGATGCAAGCCCAGAACGAGGCAATGAAAGAAATAATCTATAATCTCTCAGATGCAAGCCCAGATGGAGGCAATGAAAGAAATAATCTATAATCTCTCAGATGCAAGCCCAGATGGAGGCAATGAAAGAAATAATCTATAATCTCTCAGATGCAAGCTCAGATGGAGGCAATGAAAGAAATAATCTATAATCTCTCAGATGCAAGCCCAGATGGAGGCAATGAAAGAAATAATCTATAATCTCTCAGATGCAAGCTCAGATGGAGGCAATGAAAGAAATAATCTATGATCTCTCAGATGCAAGCCCAGATGGAGGCAATGAAAGAAATAATCTATGATCTCTCAGATGCAAGCCCAGAACAAGGGAATGAAAGAAATAATCTCAAGTCTAGTGGTTAACTCAGGTAGAGGAAGAGGTGCGCAGGCAAGAAGAATGTGAGGAGCAGAAAACAAAATAGATGGAAGAGCTAAAAGAATCATGGAAAGTACCTAAAATGAAGTCATCCTGCTAGTACAAAAGAAAAACAGAAGCCGGAGCAGCAATGCTAGCAGTCCAAGCAGAAAGAGATCTGCTACAAAAAGAAAGAAGCTCAGCCAGCAGAGAAAGAGCTAAAACAAATACTAGCAAGGCTGACAAGAGCATAGAAACTGAGGCAAAAATGACAAAATTTAAGGCACAGATCAAACTATCCCACCAAAGAAAACCAAAGCACAGGCAACAAATCGGTTCTCCATGAGATGCAACAGCAGGAGGAGCTCCGCCAAACAGTCAAAGAGAAAAAAGAACACAACGAGATGCAAAGAATCTAACAAAGATGAGGAATGAACAGATTTACCCTGACTATGGAACAATTTTGGGAACCATCTGGGTATAATCTGAACATGAGGAAATTGGCGAAACAAATCAGACAAAAGGCAAAATCACAACCCCAAAAGTAAACGAGGAAGACGCAACCACTTCCAGTAAAAACCAACACCGGACAGACTTTACCAAAGCACAAGGCAGCAGACACAATGGCAGGTGCAGTATGAAACAACCCAGCAGTAACCCACTTAAAGCAGCTGCAACCTTACCTGTCTAAACCAGACCAGACCCAATCAAGAAACCAATACAGATCAGCCCTTCTCAGGGCTGAGCTGCAACCCCCTGACCACTGACTGAGACCATGATAGACATAGAAGGCAAAGAAACAAGTAATTAGGTCTCATGCCATGAAGGAAAAGGAAAACAAGACAGCAAAAGAAACTGGCCTTAAATGTAAAAGAAGCATCAAGCCATTTGAATGAGGTCAACAATGTTCTTCATTTTTGTTTCCATATGAATGAACAAATGAGCGATTGTTCAGTTGATAACACAACACAACAAAATGAATTACAGTAACAATTAAGACAGAAAAAGTTAATGTATCAAATGGGGAACATTAAAGACTTAACGAAAGCATAGCATGTAAAGGGGAACAAGCAAACACATGGCGAATTGCTCTGTACTGAAAGAGTCGAAGGCAGAAATGTTAACATTAATTTAAGCTATCAGCAATTCAACAGTTATTTCTTTTGAGAATTACCATCCAACATTCATTTTCTTTAGCCTTTTCTTTATGTGTCTTGTCTTTTTTTTAACTCTTCCTGTCCCAATCAATATATTACTGACTATTCCTCCCCCGTCTCAAACACCATATCAAGTGTCTTCTTAAAGTTTTGGTCAGTGTATGCTAAACAAATCTGGCAACCACAGTGGCATCTTTCATTCGTACAACACAGCAAGTGGTAAGAGTTTTTGTGGCAATATTCAATGGACAAAAAAAAAAATTTTTGTAAAAAAACTTATGGGCCCGAAAGCAATCATCTACACCCTTACCATTTCTTCCTGGAGCACCCCGTGGCCCATTTGGTCCAGGCGGGCCTGTAGGTCCCGTTTCTCCGGGCACTCCTGGAACACCACTCTCCCCTCTTGGACCCTGGGGTCCAGGAGGTCCATTGGGTCCTTCAGGTCCCTGTGGAACAGAGGTATTTATTTCTATGAAATGGATATATATTTCTGTGAAATGAAAGTATACAGAGACAGTTTCTATGAATTTGGGAGATATTTTCCTTGCCATAAAAATCTCTTTTGTCTGATTTAAAAGTAATTTAAAGGTACTGTTTTATATATATATATATATATATATATTTTTAGTACCCAGAAGCCATGAGTTGTTAACCCTTAGGCTCGGTATTATGGATATCGCAATTTTTCGGCCTTGATTCCATGATTATACCGTAAATCTGGGAGAAATGTGGCTTTTTTTTGCCTACCCCCGGGTGTGAACCCGGACCACAAGGAGTTCGTCACCTGGTCACCGCGCAATCCGTTTTAGCCAACTACGCTAGCGAGCTAGGCATATATATATAAAATTTATAAATAAAAAGGATATTGGTGAATTTAAAAAAATCAATAACTATAAAAGACTAATGCGAGTGATAGAGTGATATCTCAAAGTATTTAAAAATAAGAACTATTGTGTGTCAGAATAAGCCTATGGTGAAAGAAAATCACATAGTGATTCATAGACATATGTTTTAGCTGACAAATGTTTTAGCCTAAAGGAATCCATAATTTCTTCAACCAAATATTTGAGCAGCTGAACTTACCACATCTCCCGTCTCTCCACGAAGTCCTTTGTTTCCTGGGGTGCCAGGTTGTCCAGGTGCACCATTGGTTCCCGGTCGTCCTGGGCGACCAGTCTCACCAATTGATCCCTAAGAAATAAGTTAAAAATATGGACAATTGCCATCGAGCAAAGGTGAAAGAATCAACTAACAGAAAATGTTACATGAAAGTCCATCAAAAGAAAAAATAAAACGTAGAAGTACAAATAAATGTTTTGAACAAAGTATTTGTTGGTAAACGAAAAAGACCCCCCCCCCCCTCCCCCCCCCCCCCCCCCAAAAAAAAAAGTTTTAAACAAAAGTTTTTTGCGTATCTTTCACAGGATGTTTAAGAGCCAACCCCAGCATTTTCTTTCAACTGTTTTTGACGTCACTAGGCAGTTTTATGTTCAGTAGTTTGCCACTGTTTTCTGAATGGTTGGTTCTCAATACTACTGAAAAAAACCAACATAAGGCAGTCTGCTGTGAAATTGCCCACACCCTTGATTGAATCTGGCACCAGGGAATTATGGAACAGGTTTGCCAACACATAAGCCAGTCAGCAACCAGTGAACAAAACAACAAGCATAATTAGCTCTAACCTGAACGGTACAATGAATTAAAAAATAAAATTCATATGATGTATACATAGCAAAACAATATTTTAAGTTTTCCCAACATAACAGTAAAACATATCACTTTATGAACTGTGCACATCAGTCCAGGAGTGCAGTTTCTAGGGACTGTGACTGGAGCTCAGGCTGGATAAAAACTGTGCAAGGAAATTGATGCTCTCAATTCTAAACCTTCACTGCAGCCGGGTACTTGCTCTATTCCTGTGCCAGTGAAAATCAAATAAAATATCCCTCACTGTCTCATTTGAAAAACTCTTTAAATAAACAATTGTCCTGGCACAATCCAGAAAAATGTGCACACAGTAAATGCATACAGTAGTTGCTAGAGATGCCAAAGCCAACAATCACCACCAGAAATGCAGTCTGCCGTTGATGGAAGTAGTTGGTCACAAAAAGTTGGCTTTACAGAATACAATTATTAAATAAGATATTTAACAAGTCCACAGTAAACTGACTACCGGCCATAATGAATACCATGACTCAACCGCTGCACAAATGAAAGGCATTCCACATAAAAAATCCCAGCTCACAGGGCTGCACCAAGCACTAAACTCATTTGCTAAGGCAGTGAAACTGTAGATTTCCATCCAAATGGGGAAACTGCATTAGCCAAGCTAAACATTCTGCCATGCCTTGTTCTTCATATTTGACCGAAGGTTCTGACACCTCTCAATGCCATAACAAAAGTCTGTCAGAAATCTTCAAGTGTTTCTAGGGTTAGGTTCAAGCTTCTGACCTGTGAGGATCCCCAAAAACATGTTTTTGGCCCCCGAGTAAACACAGATGAACAGCCGTCATACCTTAAGAGAAACTCATCAATTATTAGTTGCTTACAGCCACACTGGCTAAAATCCCTTACCTTAATGCCTACAGGACCTGACTGGCCAGGTGGCCCGGTTGGACCTTGAGGGCCAGGAGGTCCAGGTGGTCCTGGCCTGCCATCAGTTCCAATTTCTCCAGGAATTCCAGGTATGCCTGGTTCTCCGTTGGGACCACGACGTCCAGCCAGCCCAGTGTCTCCCTAGAAGAAACAGAAGTTTGAGCATCAGCATGATTATTTTCTTAGGGACAGTTCATCATTCTATGCCTCAGGACAGGGTATAACAAACTTAACAAGCCTTTGCATAGGCTTCATTGCAGCAGAAAATATAATGAAAATGAAGAGTTCTTAGCTGGCAACAGGAATACATCTCTAACAAGAATAATCCAAGTGTTACAAGGAAAAAAAAAATTGGAGCTATTGGAAATAAGAAAAACAGGAAAAAAGGAGAATATCGATAGATAGGAAATATTTGAAATAAGAAAATTTAAACTAATATTATTTATACATCATCTTTCTGTTTTCTTCTTCTTCTTCTCCTTTTATCCTTCTTCTTCTTCCTCTTCTTCTTTTTCTCCTTCTTCTTCTTCTTCTTCTTCTTCTTCTTCTTCTTCTTCTTCTTCTTCTTCTTCTTCTTCTTCTTCTTCTTCTTCTTCTTCTTCTTCTTCTTCTTCTTCTTCTTCTCCTTTTCTTCCTCTTCTTCTCTTCTTCTTCTTTTTTTTTCTTCTTCTTCTTCTTCTTCTTCTTCTTCTGACAATTAGTCCCCAATGAAGCACAGGTCCTCAACCAATTAATACCATGTAGTTCATATTCCGTCTTAACCAACAAGATGAACAAAATTGCCTTCCCCATCTTAGCGACCTTATTATACACTTCTCTTCCCGGTGTGTTTGTTGGTCTGCCCTCATTCGTTTGACCCTGGGGGTTCTAGTGCAAGGGCATTCTGGTCATATTGTCAGATATTCTACATGTCAGCATCTTTTCTCTAACCTCTCTATTAACTTGAAATTTTTTGATGTTCTAAGTTTTTCTTTCACACCATTTAATTCCTTCTGTTGTGCAAAGACACCAATAAATTAAAGTTTTTAGGCTTTTTCTCCCTCTTCACATTCACCGGCTGTAAACTCCAGAGGAAAATTCTGGTTGCTCGTACACTTCTGGACTACAATCTTGTTCCAGAACTTGAGTTTTATGTGCACATCCATTTTACAGGTCTGGCTTATTTGTATGCAGACTGTTGGTTCCCCGCCTATCCCAGATTGCACTCTAATTTTGCAGGAAACATCCCTAATGAGTCTACTATTACAACATGCTTGTTAGTGTGCAGTGGGTCCGTTCTCAGCCCCCCCCCCCCCCCCACACAGAGAAGTCCCCTCACTCACAAGGGGAAGCTATTGTTTTTATTTTTCTTGATTTCTCCAGATTTCCTATACCTAGGAAACTCCAGTTCCTCCCAGTATTATTCATATTTTTGTCTATAAATCTCTAATCCTTGTGCTTTTAGGTCCTCCTCTAACTCTCTTTCACTGTGTGCTCCAGTGCAAAGACATTCTAGCTATACTACTGTCAGACTGTCTCAATGTACCTCCAAACTGGCACCAGATCTTTTTCTCAACTCTGGATTCACTTGAGTTTGTTTATCTCCCTAAGCTCTGAATTAGAGGTCTGTCATTCCGTGAATTCACTCTATACTTTACAAGCACCAGTTAATCAATTTTTCTAGTTTATTAATAAATGTTATTGCTGTTCTCTAACGTTAGTCCCATACAGAAGCATTGATCTGACATTACATCTAAATATATTCTAACTATTTTTTGACTTCCACAGACTTTGTAGTGCCATGGAAACTTCTCTTACTTTTGTATTCCATTATATCCATCTCCCCCTATATCTGTCTCCTCCATCTTTGCCTATAATGCCACCTAGATATATGAATTATAAAACCTAACCACAGAAAGAAAAGAAACAAACTACTATTCACCTGTCTGCCTGGTTTTCCAGCTTCACCTGGTGGTCCATCCTCTCCTGTTTCTCCCTGTGAATAAGTTACAAAAAGTTGTTTCAAAAGTGTTGTATGTTTGGCTACTAGTAAACACATAAACGTAACATAACCCTTGACCAGTATTCTAATTACAAAGGGGCCAAATACACAGCCCTTTCAAGAAACAAATGTGCTGCCAGAGCTCTTTAGAGCTGCTCACTAAACATAAGATGTAAAAAGATAATACCATGTTGACTGGTATCTAGAAAAAGTAAAAGAGCCTTTTTCTGCCTTCAGACATACTAAGCATTTAGGCTAGACCTATTTTTTCTAGACCAATGAGCACTCGGTGGGTGATGTAGTCAACATCATGGTGGCCAATTTTTACTTCCCAGAACTGTACCCCCCCTTCGTAAAACTTTATCTAATCACGAAACAGATTTCTAAAGAAGATGATAGAGAGATAATATCCAGACAGACCTGCAAACACTTGGTGTTACCAACTGGAAAGAGAAGGCTAACCAGAGAGATGAATGGAGGCCGGTGATATCTGCAGCAATGAACCTCAAGGGATCAGAATGCTGAAGAAGAAGAATGACTGTATCTGGTACCCATTTAAAGCTGAAGGGACCCGAGAAGTAGGGTCATTTCTGAAAAAAGTCCTTATTGTCTGGACACGTGAATATAGCCAATCCACCACAGTGCATTGTTTAGGGGCAGAAAGAGTTACCATAGCCTTCCTCGCGCTGAACTGTCTTTTCTCACAGTAGCTCTTCTGTGCACAAGTCTAATGTTAGATTGATTGATTTATATCGTAAAATGCATATATTCTGAAAAAATACAACCAACTGTTTAAACTTTTTTTAAAATGTATTGTTTACAAGCATTAAAAAAAAAAAACTTATATTTTTGAAGTGTAGACAGGGGGTGTTTGAATCTGAGACTTTAGGACTGCACAGCAAGTGCTGCTAGCATGAACTGTGTAGGTTAGGGTTTTATTTCTGCCCTAACAGAAAAATCCCAATCCTCACTGAGGATCTGAACCCAGGTCTTCCGCATGAGAACCCTGTGTTCTTCATCTGTTTGGAGAGCCACTCCTCTGTTTAGAAGTACACAGTACAAGTACCAAATCTTCATTTTGGAGTGCAGCAAAAAAAAAAAAAAAAAATCTCATAGAGGGTCACCTTTCTATGAAAAAGATCTAGAATGCATGCCTCTCTGGAGTCCCACAGGGTCCTCACAAACCTGACTCGGTGATGAGCAGATCCATGATCTTTACCATGTGATCCTGCAGATTTTTGTGTTTTACATAAACAAAACAAAACAAAAAACAAACAAAAAAATTTTTTTTTTTTTAACAAAAACAACCTTACCTTAACACCTGGTACTCCTGATTCACCCTTTCGTCCAGGTGATCCTGGTGGGCCCTGAAAGGTATATGGTAAAACAGATAAGCCAATTAATCAAATTTTAAAAAAAAGTATATAAATTACTAGGTAATATCATAATGAATCTCACTTAGCATTGTTATGAATCTTATTAATCAAGAGTCATGGACTCTCAGTCTTTGAAGAATTGGAGCTTCTGAACTGAAATGCTAAGAAGAATTCTTAAAATACTTAGGAAAAAGAAGAAAAATAAAAACACCAACATCCAACATTAGGGCTATTCAATTAAGTTTACTCAGGTGCAAAAATGTTGAAAATGGGAATCATTGCCGACCAGAGGCCGAAACCTCAGCACAGAACGATCACTGATAGAATGCATTTGGCAATGGTCCATGAGCCACTTGCCAGGCCTCAGATTCAGCCCATGGCCCACCAGCCCTGTCTTACACACATGATCTAGACACAGAAAAGAACTGGCTCATAAACAGCATCTCTACCAAAAGTTGAGGTATTTAAGTCGTGCTTGGCATCCAAGTGGAGAGAATGGGGATAGTTGGTGTAGTTTCCAGAAACAAGGCAGAAACCGACTGCTGCAAAGGTGGATACAAGACACTTGGTCTTCCCCGTTTTCTGTTCCCTTCCGGTGTCCACACGAGGGCTTGATGTCCTGTCTTATCCATTCTCAGTGTGTGGCCAATATCGTTCCAGCAGCGCTTTCTTCGAAAATTTGATACATTATCTTGCTTGGTCTCTTGTCTTTGTTACGTATTGGATCTGTCGTGAGAAAGGAAAAATGGAGTACATGATGACAGCAGAAAATCCGCAGTGAATGAGAGGCATGAGAGGACCACAAGAGGGGATATTAAACAGTCTGGTGTATTGGTATGGAAGCCCAGCTGTATCAGAAAAGATCGACAGTTCATGAAACAAACGGCTGTCGAAGCAAACACTTGACCACATGGGCTATACAAATTTGAAGAAACTTCTATAAGCCAGTGCCCTTCCCCCTTCGCCACAGAGCTGCAGGTTACGCCAGGTTGGTGTGACCCTATGCATGCCTTAATTATAACTTCTTTGCAGGCTGAAAGGGGATATCTGAGATTTCCCTTGTTGGTCGGCCATACACATATTCTTTTAATCTTAGAGTGGTAAACTTTCAGGAAGCAGCCCGGATAGGACAAACTGATCAATCAATCAAACTGGAGTCAGTCAAAGTGTACTTTGGTAATATTATGAGGCAACTGAAGTTGTACACAGCATACTCTTGTATGGTTGTGTTTAGATTCCCTTTAGTCACATGTCATCAACCTGACTATTATTATCATCATCATCATCGTCAATAATTTCCACTTCTGCTGTTAACTGTCATGGGGAGGAAAAGTTTGTGATCCATTGCTTGATGGGCAGCAACGGCTATTGCCATTTTGTATCCATATAGAAGCTCTTTAATATCATCAATCCATCTTCTCATAGGGTGGAATCTTGCTTTTACTTCAGTTCTTTTCATGTGTAGTGCCTGTATTGGTAACCTTTCTTGCTTCATTCTTACAGAATGACCAAACCATCTGATCTTTTGTTTGTCCATAAATTCGCTGCATGTTGTTGTTTTCATAGTCTGTCTGATATTATCATTTCTAACTCTTCGGATTTCTGAATAAATAAATTCCCTATTGGTTTACTAAACCTGTAGTAGGATTATCCTTATCCAACTGTCCAGCTTGAGATCAAGCAAGTGAATACACACAATCAAACAAATAAAGGACTTACGCCAGGGGGGACCAGAAGGATCATTCTTGTCCAACTGGACAGCTTGAGATCAAGCAAGTGAATACACACAATCAAACAAATAAAGGACTTACGCCTTGACCGGGGTAGCCTTGTTCTCCAGGGGGACCAGGTTGTCCTCTAGGACCTGCAGGTCCTGGCGGCCCCACCAGTCCACTGGGACCTGATTAAATATTACAAGATGCTGTTAATTTGTGTGTGTGTGTGTGTGTGCCTGTCTGTGTGTGCACGTCTGTGCCTGTGTGTGTAAGTGAGTGTGTTCATGAGGGTGCGCGCATACACGCACATGTGTGTGTGTGAGTGTGCACGTGCGCGCGCGCGCTCGCATGCGGGGGGGGGGGGGGGTAAGATTGTTCAGAACTCTGAAACAATGACTACGTTATATTGCTAGGAAACAAACAATCAGAATTATAATTTGTACACATCTATCTTGAATATAGCAACACTGTAAAATGATTAATGGTCTGATTGTAATGTTTTATTAAGGATCGACATCACATCAATCTGGGTCATTGCCATAAACATTCTATCCCCATCTTCAGCAGCAAGTGCAGAGTTGCAGTTTTAATGGTAAAAATAACTGTCTGATCGTACATCTGTCTCACCTTTCCCCTAAATGTTCACTGTCAGCTAAATCCTCTAGCCACACCTCACAGCACCATCCTCCTCGAACGGTGATGATTCATCTATGCTTCTTCACTCCGTTCATCACTGCAGAGAACATAATAGTAGGATTTAGAGTAGGAATAACAGTAGTAGGAGTAGTAGATGAGTAGATGAGTAGATGAGGCAGATCCCGCAGCTAGTGATGGCAATTTATACTTGTGCTTCTCCAGGAAGTTAACCAAGTCAACCTGTGCTGGATGAAGTCGGATGTGTCAGCTAAGAGGTGCAAATACTGGCACAATGCAATTACTTCACTTAGACGACCGAAAATCAGAAGAAGAAGATTTGTTGAACCAGACTGCACTTAAAGAGCACCAGTTCATTTTGCACATTTCTTCTCCAGGAATATCTGTCTGCTGCAACTTCCTCCCATGTTTCTCTATCTGTGCCAAGGGCTTTAAAAGCCTATGTTATAAAGTTGAGAGCTCTTTCGGGCACAATCACTTCACCATGCACATCTGGATCCATTCAAAATTATTATAATTGACCAGTTGTCTTCTTCTGTCACAGAAGAATGTTATTTGTCATTGCTTATTGTCCAGATTACTTGTAAAACTTCTTGTATCTTACAGTGTCTATGCTGAACTCTTTAGGGAGAAATTATTTACTGTTTTCAAACTAGACACTCTGGGGTAAAGGTAAAGGTGAAAGGATCGACTCCACAGCACCAGATTTTATCTCATATGGCTCAGTCTCTCTTCAAAGAATAGCAAGATGCCTGCCGAGAGTGTTGCACAGGGCACGACCTCTGTAGCTCCTGCGATAAACCCCAGGGATCTCAGTAAAAATTGGATTCGTGAACTAAACGATGCTGCCGTGAAATGACCCAAGACTTTTGCACACTCTGGGGTAGAAGGAGCTAAAGTAAAAACTGATTGGGACTGAAAGACATCACACTGCCAATAACTGAACAATTGTAATAGAGAAATAATCCTTGAGTCTTATATAGTTAAAGTAACACAAACGTGGCTTGGGAAAAGTTAAGTAGCAACTTTGCTAAACTATATTCAAACTCAGTGGGTTTTGTAGTCATTCATCACCGACAGGCTCGATACATTGTTGTGGTGGTCTTATCCCCTGTTTATCCCATATGATTATCTGTTAACCCCATATTGATATCTGTTGATCCAATATGGTTATCTGCTCATCCCATGTAGTAATTTGTATCCACACTATAGTTGTCTGTTTATCCCCTGCAGTTATCTGTTTACTCCAAACGCTATATATTTGTCCCATACAGTTATCTGTTATCCCCTACGGTTATCTCTATCCCAAGATCTCTACAACTCCTCCATCTAAAATTCCCAGAGATCTTCGATATAAATTACACCCACAAACTGGTAGCTGAAAACAGCCCCATGATTTTTAGAGTGTGAGGCAGTTACCAGGTCCGTTTTTAAAATCTGCATGGTGGCAATTAATTCTATGACCACCATGCCACATGCAAAGATATCCTCACCATCATGTGCCCTGCCAACTGGCGTAGGGGCTCATGTGTCTATACAGATCACGATCCCTGGTTGACCGGAACAGCTCTCTTGATGATTTCCTCCATGCCATCGTTTTAGCCCATCCAACATCATCTCTCTTGGTTCTGCTTCTACCCCCTTTTCCACTGATCTTTCCAGTTGTCACAATGTTCTCCAATGTCTCTCTTCTCAAAGAACAGTGTTTGTCTCTTACAGATATCCTAGCAACTGAATAACTATGGGCCAGGTTTTTCTAGCTTCACAACCTAAAGCAACAGAGGCAACAAAAACTTACAGCTTCTCCTTTGTCTCCAGGTGGACCTGCAGGACCTCTCTCACCAGGTTGACCCTAAGAAAAACAAACAATTTATTCGTGTTATCTTCATTGTCGTGTCTGTGGCTTCAACGTTCTTCTTTGTGGTCACCGCTGTAAACTCGGGCAGTAAGCTTCTGGTTGTCTGTCCACTTCTGGACTCTGGGTCTGTTCCAAAATTTGAGTTTTGCCCACTCATTTTACAGATGCAGACTGTTGGTTCCTCACCTCTCAGGCGGATACACTCCAAATTGAAGGATAAACCCCTAATTAGCATACTTTTACGGCACGCTTCTTATAGGGGCACCAGATAAATTCTTTTCCCCCAAAAATTTGGCCCTAGAACGCACACGGGGATTACAGGTTATGGATGCAGTTGCAAAAATCTGACAAACAAGGTTTTTAATTACCTGTGGGTATGATTTGGCAGCAGATTACTATGTGTCAATTTTGACAACTGTGTGAGCCCCAAATCATTAGGAAAGCAATGGCAAACTATCAACTGTTAAATTGCCTTCTAAAACACTACAGACTCAATATTTTGGGGTTAGTCTGCAAATCCTGTAAAGAATAGCTAGGTAAATAAATAAAGAACCCTTTTCTACCCTTTCAGGCATATTGGGCATATAAAGCTATACCAGTATTTCACAGACCAGTCGGCACGTGGTGGGTGATGTGGTCAACATCCACCTTTACCTCCCTTGACTTTATCTAGTACCCACTTTAAACCTGGGTCGACCCAGTAGCCAAGATCATTTTGAAAAATGTCTGGCGCTATCAGGACCTGAAGCTATGACCTCACGGTCTGCAGACAAGCGTTTGGCCACTTTACTGCGGCTCCTAAAAGGGAGGCTATTGTGGATTGAAGCCCAAAATCTTTAAGCCAGCTTCTGAGCTTCTAACAGCTAAGCTACAATCGGGTCAGCAAGAATATGTTATTAACTTTTATTAATCTTCAGTCAAACACAAACTACACTCCTCGTTAAAAGTAATTCTCTTATTCCCATACAAACAATGCTCACAAAAGTAGTGATAGTCATCCGCATGAAAATTTCTTTCCTAGTGCCACAATGATGACACTTTTTTTCCTAGTGCCATACTGATGACATTTTCTTTCCTAGTGCCACACTGATGACACTTTCTTTCCTAGTGCCACACTGATGATATTTTCTTTCCTAGAGCCACAATGATGACACTTTCTTTCCTAGTGCCACAATGATGACATTTTCTTTCCTAGTGCCACAATGATGACATTTTCTTTCCTAGTGCCACACTGATGACACTTTCTTTCCTAGTGCCACACTGATGACATTTTCTTTCCTAGTGCCACACTGTTGACACTTTCTTTCCTAGTGCCACACTGATGACACTTTCTTTCCTAGTGCCACACTGATGTCACTTTCTTTCCTAGTGCCACACTGATGACACTTTCTTTCCTAGTGCAATATAGACGGCCCTTTCTTTTTAGTGCCATGCAGATGACAATTTCTTTCATTATGCCACATAAATGACATGTTAATGACAGGTTCTCTCATAGTGCATGTAGATGACACTTTCTTTCATAGGGCTACTCAATGTCTTCTTTTTTTTCACAGTGCCACACAAATGACACTTTCTTTCATAGGGCTACTCAATGTCTTCTTTTTTTTCACAGTGCCACACAAATGACACTTTCTTTCATAGGGCTACTCAATGTCTTCTTTTTTTTCACAGTGCCACACAAATGACACTTTCTTTCATTGAACCACATGGATGACACTTTCTTTCATTGTACCACATGGATGACACTTTCTTTCATAGTGCCACACTGAATGACACTTTTTTTTCATCGTGCCATGTGAATGACACTTTTTTCAAAGTTACACATGAATGCCACTCTCTTTCATAGTGCCACATGGACAATGTTTTTCCCTTATAGTCCATGCTGTAAGGCATTGGTAGTCTCATCTATCTACAGCTTTCTGTCTCATGTATCATCTGTGTATTGCTGAGACATAAATTGTGTCCATGCGTTGATGCCCAACTGTCCGATATCCTCTCCTAGTTTTCCTGCCTCTCTTCCACTTCAACTTTTCCTTGTCACAATATCCTCTAATTTCCCATTTTCTTGGCATGCCCAACTGTCCGATATCCTCTCCTAGTCTCCCTGCCTCTCTCTCACTCCAAATTTTCCTTGTCACAATATCCTCTAATTTCTCATTTTCTTGGCATGTCCAACTGTCCGATATCTTCTCCTAGTCTCGCTGCCTCTTTCCCACTCCAACTTTTCCTTGTCACAATATCCTCTAATTTCCCATTTTCTTGGCATGTCCAACTGTCCGATATCTTCTCCTAGTCTCGCTGCCTCTTTCCCACTCCAACTTTTCCTTGTCACAATATCCTCTAATTTCCCATTTTCTTGGCATGCCCAACTGTCCGATATCCTCTCCTAGTCTCCCTGCCTCTCTCCCACTCCAACTTTTCCTTGTCACCATATCCTCTAATTTCCCATTTTCTTGGCATGTCCAACTGTCCGATATCTTCTCCTAGTCTCCCTGCCTCTTTCCCACTCCAACTTTTCCTTGTCACAATATCCTTAAATTTCCCATTTTCTTGGCATGCCCAAGAAATGTAGATTTTCTTCTTGTGATGCAAGTTATCATTTTTTTAGGAGTTAATTTTTGTATCAAGACATCTTCACTTTGCTCTCTGTTGTGTCTATGATGACAAAGTGAAGGAAAGTACAAATATTATAAATTACATTTTTAGTGAAGTAAGACTTGAGAGAAATAAGAGCTGACTGAAGTAAGAGTTGAGTGAAGTGACAGATGACTGAAGTCAGAGTTGAGTGAAGTGAGAGTTGAGTGAAGTGAGAGTTGAGTGAAGTAAGAGTTGAGTGAAGTGAGAGTTGAGTGAAGTGAGAGTTGAGTGAAGTGAGAGTTGAGTAAAGTGAGAGTTGAGTGAAGGAAGAGTTGAGTGAAGGAAAAGTTAAGTGAAGGAAGAGTTGAGGGAAGTTAGAGCTCAATAAAGTAAGTGTTCACCGGAGTAAAAGACTCATCAAGTAAGAGTTTAGTAACTTAAAAGATACCCCAAAAAATGTACTTACTGCAGCTCCTGGTGGTCCTACCTCACCTGGACCTCCAATTTCACCCGGGAAACCCTGTCAAACACATATTAAAACTTGTCAATCTACTGCACTGGTACACAGCACACCTGAGGTAACCAACACAAAAGTGTATCAGTTGCATACCTGAGATAATTCGAAAGCTGTATAAACTTCCCACACAAATCCTTCTATTCCTCATTTTCCTAGTATATACAACCCCTCCCTCCTTCCCCCCTCCGCCAGCACAGTCAGATAATTTCTCTATTACGTTTCTTCTGCTCCATACGTTCATTTGTCTTTTCCTGATGGTTTGATGAATGAACTAGTAACACTTGCCGATGCCAATATGTGCTTGTTATCTTTTCTTGTTATGAAATTCGCACAACTGGTTTTTTTTTTCTAGCCATGAAAATCTCACAATTATTCTCGTTTGATGTATTTTTTGTTAAAAATTGTCTTCGTTGAAAAAAAAATAAATAAATAAATACATACACACACACAAGATTTTCTTTTCAACAGATTGTCTCAAAATTTTACTTTTCAAAATGCTTTCTCTGGCTTTAATATTCTTAATTTTTTTTGGAAGTATTGCCTTATCTAAGATTTCCCACAATTTTCTGTTTTTTTATGTTTTCGTGGACCATTATATTCTCACAATTTTTGTGTGTGGATGTTTTCTGTAGTTCTACATTGCCTTCAATTTCTCAATGTCATGAATGACACATAATTGTTGTGTGTGGAAATTTTTCTCTGGCTTTAATATTCTAACAATTTATTTTAAATTATAAAAAAAATCTTCACATTGCCTCCACTGTCTCAGTGTCATAAATGACACACATTTTATAACCAAAACTGCAACATGTTGTGTATAACCAAAACTGCTGACATGTTGTGTATAACCAAAAATGCTGACATGTTGTGTATAACCAAAAATGCTGACATCTTGTGTATAACCAAAACTGCTGACATGTTGTGTATAACCAAAAATGCTGACATCTTGTGTATAACCAAAAATGCTGACATGTTGTGTATAACCAAAACTGCTGACATGTTGTGTATATTTCAAGTGTTGGCTTCCTATATCCCTAATATACTTTTACAGCAGGTAAGTAGGTGTACCTATTTACTGAATGGTCTTTATGTAGAATGTTCTCATAGTTTTCAGACAGTGACACAAGTGGCATAGTGGGAGACATCGGGACCTGACCACACTGTATTAACACAATCAGTGCCACTGCACGCTGAACATTCCCATGTGTGATCAGTCCTTAGATGCAGCAGCTACTCTGAGGTGCCTCTACTAACTATTCCAATGAGAACTAGGTTATAGTGTCTTCTGTCTTGACCTCAAAGACAGCATAGTTATGCTTCACCAAGCTTTACTTCCAGGTCACACAATCATCTTAGCATCAGAGATTCACCATTAACCCCCAAAGTAGTTCTTACAGCATTGATGATATTAACTTTGTCTAGGCTTCTTCCTGATTGCATTGGTGGATTACTTGCCAGTACTCACAGTGTAATATTTCCAAAGGCAACAGTGGTATATGGTAGCTAATCTTCAGTGTCGAAATGGAACAAAACCAACTTTTTTTTAATGTACACACTGGTTTCATATGTAAGGTTCCATCTTCCCTGCACACAGACATATCTATAAAAGACTCATTCACACCTTCTAAACTCACAGCTTAGTGCAAAAACTCTAAGACCAATGAGGATCCACATGTGATGATACCAGAATTTCCCCACAAAAATATTTTTATGGGTAAGTTTTAATTTCGCAAATAATATCAAGCTATGTAGTATGCTGTCCCTTTTGAACTCTTTTAGTCATAAGGGGTTTATCATCACAGGCTCAAGGGTTAGTAGAGAGAGACGTAGAATCAGCACATCTTGCGTTCACTAGGCTTCTAAATAGGAACCCATAAACATATGATGGGTTGAATTAAAAACACATAATGCAGTGACTAGGGTTAATGGGAAATATCTGACATGATTAGACAATAAATTAGAGAACCAAAAGTTGATTTAAGACTTGCTTACTCTTAGACCATCTGGGCCAGGTGGTCCTGAACCACCAGGCTCCCCACTTTCTCCAGGTGGACCTGCAGTTCCTCGAGGTCCTGGGAAACCCCGCTCACCCTGAAACATAAGTACAATCAATTAGTAACTGATCACCTTCATTACACAAAGTTGCTCATAAGACTGCTTGAGTCTCTGATAGATCATGCAAAGAGAATTTCAACACAGTACACAAACTCTGTAGCAGTGGAAAGAACTGACATAATTGCCTGGACTAAGGTTGTAAATACCCCCATCTATGTATCATTTACCAAGGCTCTCATCTTCTTCTTCTTCTGCCTTTCTATCCCCCAATGGAGCATAGGCCCTCAACCAACTCACGCCAAGTCGTTCTATCCTTCGCCATTACATGGAGCTCTCCCCATGTCTTCCCAATCTTTCTAATCTCATTCTCCAGCTCTCTTCTCCATGTGTTTTTTGGCCTTCCTTTGTTCCTATGCCCCTGTGGGTTCCAATGCAAAGACATTCTAGTTATGCTGTTCTCCTGTTTTCTCAGTGTGTGCCCTATCCAACGCCAGCGTCTTAGGCTCTCATCTGATGCTCTTCAAAACCTGAACCTCAAAGGCAGAGAAAGGACTAGAGAAGAAAAAGAAAAAGTTTGTAATAACATCCATCGAATTCATTGTGCAGTATCCACGTGGAATCCAGGGCGCCATTTTGGGGAAAGGGAGATTATACCAGTTGTCCCCCTAACAAGCATGTCACAAAAGGCGACTAATTTAAGGGACATCTGCCTGAGAGGTAAAGAATCAACAGTCTGTATACAAATAAGCCAGATCTGTAAAACGAATGTGCATACAAAACTCAATTGCTGGAACAGGATGAAAGTCCAGAAGTGGGAGAACATCTAAAACTTGCTGCCGGACTTTACAGCCAGTGAACGCTTACAAGAAGAAGAAGAAGACTGTATAGTGAAGGGGTAGTAAAAGGGTCTTTGAAGTGTAAAGGCCTAGTCATTTTGAAGATCATGGGTTCATTGTCAGACAGTGTCGTTTATAAGTACAAGTTTGTTGGAGATCCCTGAAAGTGTCACTAAAGTTACATAGTTCATACTCTATGTAATGCTCTTATAAGGCAGCCAGTCACTTTACCCAGTGAAATCATGAGACATAACACCCAGTAATATGACGTAGGCTGACTTTGAATCACCTTAGTTAGTTATTTGACAGTTGATCCTCACTGCCATTGAGCCCTTCAGTCACAAGTCATAGGTCATCGCCTCAGTAAATCCCACAGTGTCTATGTTGGTTTATTTTGGTGTGTGTGTGTGTGTGTGTGTGTGGCTTCATGCACAATGCTCATGTCTAGTCTGACCACTTTTAACTTGCAGCTTTGCAGTCTGATCATGGCTGTAGATTCAAAGTCCTTACTTAGTTCTCACCTCAATAACTGAACAGGGATACTACAGAAGTAGGGACTAAACCAAATAAAAAGCACTTACAGCAAGTCCGGCTCTTCCGGGGGGTCCTGGCTCTCCAGAGATGCCTGGTTCCCCATCACGTCCTGATTCACCAGGTATTCCTTGTGGCCCAGGGGCTCCTTGGAAACCGTTAGGTCCTGCTGGTCCAGTTGGGCCAGATGGACCTGGTTCTCCCTGCAAGTAAACATTGATGAAAGTATCAGTTACCGGAGGAAAAGAGTAGATAATTCAGTGAAAATCTTTATCACAGAATCAAAAGAGTAGATAATTCAGTGAAAATCAGGATCACAGAATCAAAAGAGTAGATAATTCAGTGAAAAACAGGATCACAGAATCAAAAGAGTAGATAATTCAGTGAAAATCTCGATCACAGAATCAAAAGAGTAGATAATTCAGTGAAAATCTCGATCACAGAATCAAAAGAGTAGATAATTCAGTGAAAATCTCGATCACAGAATCAAAAGAGTAGATAATTCAGTGAAAATCTCGATCACAGAATCAAAAGAGTAGATAATTAAAGGAAAACAGTAGATACTAGATAATTCAATGAAAATGCAAGTCAATGAATGAAAAGTGTAGACAATTAACTGAAAGTGTTTTTTTAAAAATGAAAACAGCAGAAAAGTGTTGTTTGATCACACCACTATGGTGATATCAACATATGTACAGAAAAGTGTTGTTTAATCACACCACTATGGTGATATCAACATATGTACAGAAAAGTGTTGTTTGATCACACCACTATGGTGATATCAACATATGTACAGAAAAGTGTTGTTTGATCACACCACTATGGTGATATCAACATATGTACAGAAAAGTGTTGTTTGATCACACCACTATGGTGATATCAACATATGTACAGAAAAGTGTTGTTTGATCACACCACTATGGTGATATCAACATATGTACAGAAAAGTGTTGTTTGATCACACCACTATGGTGATATCAACATTTGTACCGAAAATTGAGGATGAATAGTTTTAACCAGTGATTCCCAAACTGTGCACTACAGCACCCTGGGGAGCCGCGACCTCTCCACAGGGGCGCTGCGAAATATTGTAAAAGCTTCATAATTAATTCAACTAAGACACGAATAGTCATACTTTTACTTAGGTTAGGGCGGCGTGGACAAATTTTATTTTAAAAAAGGTGCCGCAACCAAGAAAAATTTGGGAAACACTGGTTTAAACAATATTAAAAGTAAAGTAAAGAATCCTTCTCATGCCTTTGAGACTATTTAGCCATATATTTTACAGACCAATCAGTCCTCAGTGGGTGATATGGTTAACATCACACCAGCCACCTTTACTTTCCAGGTCTGTGCTTGATACCCATTTAAGGCTGGGTCAACCTGACAGCTAAAGTCATTTTTGAAAAAAGTCCAGCTCTATCTGGACCTGAACTCACAACCTTCAGGCCCACAGGCAAGCGTCTAGCTACTACACCAGTGCGGCTTCCTAAACAAATTCTGTTTAGCCAACAAAAGACACAAGAGTAGGAATGTAACCATGTGCTGCTAGCCAACAAAAGACACAAGAGTAGGAATGTAACCATGTGCTTCTAGCCAACAAAAGACACAAGAGTAGGAATGTAACCTTCTGCTTCTAGCCAACAAAATACACAAGAGTAAGAATGTAACCATGTGCTTCTAGCCAACAAAAGACACAAGAGTAGGAATGTAACCATGTGCTTCTAGCCAACAAAAGACACAAGAGTAGGAATGTAACCATGTGCTTCTAGCCAACAAAAGACACAAGAGTAGGAATGTAACCATGTGCTTCTAGCCAACAAAAGACACAAGAGTAGGAATGTAACCTTGTGCTTTGGTAAAGATAGGATGGGTATTTCTTCCTCTTCACCTCCTTAGTGTTCACTGTCTGTAAACTTCCCGCAGACACATCCGGTTGTTTGTCCACTTTGGTCTTGTTCCTGAACTTTAGTTCTGTGTGCCCATCCCTTTATGGATCTGGCTTATTTATAGGCAGACTATTAGTTCATCGCCTTCTAAGCAGATACAATCCAACTTCAAAGGAAACTCCTCTATTTAGTTACCTTTTATGACATGATAGTTGGAGAGGGAGCAGAAGGCCTATCCCCCGTCCCTTCCCGGATAGTTAGTTAGTTAGTCTTTCCTCTTGTGTCGAGTGCGGCACATAGGGCAGAGGTCATGACTCTCCATGCATGGCGGTTCGTTGCAATTTGGTGTTGTGAGGTCTTTATGTTCTGAGTGCCCCCCTTTATGAGCGAGCTTTTTATGATGATAGTATTAGTATCGCCTTGTAGTTTCCAATCCAACCACGGGATCTTTTCCCCTGTGGTGTCCAAATGAGGGCTTGGTAAGAAAGTCTTTACTTTTCCCGGATAGGCATTAGTTAAATGATGTTATGGATAGAGTAATAAAGCCACATATTGTTCCATCACTTTCAAATGTCCATAAAAAACCTACTTCAGGGCCAGGTGGTCCACGGCACCTCTCTCGCCTTGAGATCCTGCATCACCTGGTGGGCCTCTTTGTCCAGGTGTCCCAGCAGGACCATCTTTACCTGGGGCACCCTGAAAATAAATCATGTTTGTAAATTAAATAGTCATCTTCTGAAGAAAATGAGATAAATAGTCAAAACCAACTCTGTGACCCAACAACATAACATGTTATGGGCCTATAGAAAGACAGACAGACAGACAGATAGGCAGGCAAATGTGATGGGTAGACTATCAAAGAGAAGCAAGAAATAGACAGATAGGCAGGTAAATGTGATGGGTAGACTGACAAAGAGAAGCAAGAAATAGACAGACAGGCAAATGTGATGGGTAGACTGACAAAGAGAAGCAAGAAATAGACAGACAGGCAAATGTGATGGGTAGACTGACAAAGAGAAACAAGAAATAGATAGGCAGGCAAATGTGATAAGAAGACTGACAAAGAGAAACAAGAAGCAAGACAGAAATAAAAAAGCAGAGACCTATTGCTGATTCTTTATAAATTTAGTAATTCTCTAACCATTGTATCGTAAATTATCAGAAATGTGTACTTTATCCGTTGTATCATAAATTATCAGAATTGTGTACTTTATCCGTTGTATCATAAATTATCAGAATTGTGTACTTTATCCGTTGTATCATAAATTATCAGAATTGTGTACTTTATATCCATTGTAAATGTGATGGGAAGAATTGTGTACTTTATCCGTTGTATCATAAATTATCAGAATTGTGTACTTTATCCGTTGTATCGTAAATTATCAGAAAAGTGTACATTATCCATTGTATCGTAAAATATCAGAAAAGTATACTTTATCCGTTGTATCATAAATTATCAGAAAAGTGTACTTTATCCGTTGTATCATAAATTATCAGAAAAGTGTACTTTATCCGTTGTATCATAAATTATCAGAAAAGTGTACTTTATCCGTTGTATCATAAATTATCAGAAAAGTGTACTTTATCCGTTGTATCATAAATTATCAGAAAAGTGTACTTTATCCGTTGTATCGTAAAATATCGTGTATGTGTACTTTATACATTGTATCATAAATTATCAAAAATGTGTACTTTATCCATTGAATCGTAAATTATCACATATGTCTAGAAACTGTGTTTGCAAATAATACATTTGTCCTAGATATTTCAATCAGAATGACATCTGGTAAAAAAAAAAAAAAAACCACACAGACACATAGATTTTCAGTGTTACCGTATAGATTTAAAATAGATTTTCAGTGTTACCGTATAGATTTAAAATAGATTTTCAGTGTTACCGTATAGATTTAAAATAAAGTCAGAGACTATACATTACAAACAATTCTAGGCACTTACTCTTTCACCAGGGGGTCCCTGAATTCCTTGCTGGCCACCCACACCTGGGCCACCTGGAGGTCCAACTTCTCCTGGGCGACCATCACTTCCTGGGAGTCCCTGTTGAAAACAAACATCTTCAGATAAAAGGACCTGACATGTTTCAATAAAAGTTATTGTTCATTGTTGACCAACTGCAAATGTCTCTGCACTTTAGACAACTGCAAATGTCTCTGCACTTTAGACAACTGTAAATGTGTTGTCACTGCACTTTAGACAACTGCAGATGTGTTGACACTGCACTTTAGACAACTGCAAATGTGTTAACACTGCACTTTAGACAACTGCAAATATGTGGTCACTGCATTTTAGACAACTGCAAATATGTTGTCACTGCACTTTAGACAAATTTACTGGTGCTTAGTTGCTTTCAAGATAAGGAACTTATTATTGCTACTGTTTTATTGCAGTAGTATAGAGTTGTCTACACTTGACACCCGAAATCTAGCTTTATAAAATTTTGCTTTAATTGCAATAATATAGAGTTTTCTAGTATCTTCACATGGCATTCCAATGCAACTCTATCAAAATGTTGTTTTAAATATAGTATAGAGCTATCCGCACTTGGAGGGTCCAACAAACACTCAAATTAAACAAAAAATAAAATTTCCTGAACACAGCACACTGTAAATGCTGTAACAAATGATCATATCTGAATAAAAACAAATCAAATTTAAAAATATAATAATTGCATTTACTGTACCTTGATAAAAGTGGTGACCAAACACACAGAAGTAGGAGGAGGACGGAGAATTTAGGGAGGTTACTCTTTGGAAGGTGAGTCGCTTTCTATGATTACATTAGGAATTCTTTCTGGTGTTTAATATTGTAGTCTTTCACCACTTACAGGGGTTTTTGGGTCCCTGGTTTCTGTTGACCACTTACAGGGGTTTTGGGGTCCCTCGTTTCTGTTGACAGTTAGCTGTTTAAAGTGCTCTGATGTTGTATTTTTTCCTAACATCATTTATAATGTTATCACTGAATATGAGCGAACAAACAAACAAATGAACAAACAAACTTTTTTTTTTAAAGGATCACAAATTGGGCACACAGGCCTGTCTTACATTTGACCCTTCCAAACACCCATCTTTCACACTGCAGTTGTATTTTACATGTTAACACTTGTCAGCTAGGGCTCTATCAATGTACCACCTCTTAACAACAATTTTGTTCAAATTCCAATTTGTTCTAATTTTGAAGCATTCACATTTAGAGGTATTGCTGTGTTCATATTGTTAAACAGTTAGAATCTTGACTACTCATATTTAATAATTCATTTAATATATTAAAATGATTCCATAAAATGTTACTGTCATTTGAGATGTTTTTATTATGTGTCACTAAAGAGTTATTTGCAGATCGTAATTTAGGCCTCATATGTACTTACCTGTTGTCCTGACAGTCCAGGGGAACCACTAGGCCCATCTGGTCCGGTCACTCCCTATGAAACAAAAGACAGGTTGAGCGGTCAGAAAACCAACAATAAAAATTCAAGCAATGCAATGAAAACATATGTTCCAGTGCTAAAATTATAAATATTTTTATGGATCTGAGCAATCTGAAGAAAATAGAAACACTGTATTGTAACTAAGGACTGACTGACTGACTTTCTACCCCACTAGGACATCACACAAGCGAAAAACACCCGATGACACAAAGTGCCACCATGCAGATGACGATCACCGTGGAGAGGTTCCAGAAACCGCGTTCAGACAATTGGCCATATTGATGGCCTGCCTATATTGCGGCCCCTGGCAAAAGCCAGAGCGGGGCGTCAAATAACAAAAAAATTACGTCCTAAAAAGGACGTAAGGAATAGAACGTTGTAACTAAAGAGGATGGCCATGAAAAATATAGTTCAACATTGCTGATGACCCTTAACATTCACCTTCACTGCAAGTGCCAGCCGCCGTGCACTGAATCACAAATTATTCTTCTCTACGATGCGGAAGGGGTTTATGATGATGATCACTTTATATAAGAAGCTTAAAAAAGGTGGGAAGGGGGGAGGGGACAAAACAGGAACAGCCAGATGTTGTAGTAGCAGCTTTTATTAATAGCAACCAAAACAACAAGGGGAGAGTATCCTAGTGAACAGGATACTCTCCCCTTGTTGTGGGATTTTGTTGGTGAAGACTACTGTGGAAATGTCTGGAGGTTCCTCTGTGTGTGTGTGTGTGTGTGTGTGTTTTCTTCCCACCCCTTGCCTACTTTTGTTAAGCTTAGTCACAGTTCAGTGGATTCATTTTATGAGAATAGACCTGACTACTTTAACTAAAAGGTGTGTTGTAGGTGAGGTTTGTGTCTGTGTACCTTAGGTGACTGTGTGTAAATTAAGTGAGACTGTATCTGTAGGTTAGATGTGTGTGTGTGGTTTTAGGTTAGTATGTGTGTAGATAAGGTAAGTATGTATGTGTGTGTAGGTTAGGTGTGTTTATGTAGGTTAGGTGAATGTGTGTATGTAGTTTAGGTAAGTAAAAACATCAAGTAATGGTATGTAGATCAGATGTGTGCATGTGTGTGTAGGTGAAGCAAGTATGTGTAGATCGGATGAGACTATGTGTAAATTAGTTGTGTGTGTGTGTGTGTGTGTGTGTGTGTGTAAGTTTAGTGAGTGTTTATATGTTAGGTGAATGAGTGTATATTAGGTGAGACTGTCTTAAGTTAGGTGTGTGTATGTGGTTCATCTGGGTGCATATTTCAACATCACAGCATTCAGGACAATCCCACACTAGCCTCGTCTCCCTCCTCAACAGAGAGCAAAGAGTCTCCATACTGATGGTGCCTGTTGTTATCTGGTTATCTTCTTGTCTTGCCTTCCCTGTGAATCTCAAGTGGGGCCCAGAGCCAACAGCCAGTCCTCGCTGCATAATTCTCTCCAGATGCAGATTTTTTTTATCTTCCATTTCATCTGTTACCCCATTCCACAGTTTTGAGATCATCTCTACTGTGTGCAGTTGCAGTACACCCCCAAATGGAACCTTTCCAGCCAGAATATCTGCCTGCTCATTCCAAAGCACACCTGAAAATCCCCGGCAAAACATCCAAATGACTCTCACAACCTGTGACCTCTGGATTGATACAATCCATTCCATATGAAGAAAACCTGACCCCAACTTCCAGAGCATGCTTTGGGAATCAGACACTATGACGTCATGTGTGACTGAGATTTGTTCAATCATCAAAATGCCACAATTATCATGTCAGCCTCCATTCTCATGTTGGTCGTGGTGATGTCATATTCCAAGCTCTCTTCACTGCTTTTGCAAAGAAGCCCCATTCACTTTTCCTGCCCCTGGCAACTGACCCATTAGTGTATATTATCACATCTCCTGGTCTAGAGCTGTCCTCTGTCAGCTGTTGTGGCTTTGCATCAGTACATGCTGCTGCCCATTCCCTGCACTCTCCTCCTACGGTAATTGCCACTTGCGTGCGGTGTGTGTAGAGATTAACTGAGCACGTATGAAGATTAGGTGAGCGTGTGTAATGTGTGTGTGTACATTAATAATCTCACACCATTCCTGATGACTTGAATTACCAGCCTTACACAAATGGTTCGAAAACTGTTTTATCACTGCATCCACTCTTATCATTTACCACAATAATGTTGATACACAAAACAAAATAAAGCAAACAACACAATGTATTCCTCCAAGTATGAGACACAATTATTTTCCCAAAATTTGGGCCTAAAAGTAGTATACGTCTTATACAATGGTAGTAGATTTTTACCAAATGATTTGTTAGAAATATCCCATTCAGGGCCTCATTTGGGAGTTCCCATTCAGGGAAGACAGTCTCCTGGGAACAATCTGACACAAGCAGGTAGTGTGATGGAACCACTACAAGAAAAGATTCTGGGATAATGTGAAGACTGAGATTGTTCTAGAAGTATAGCATTTCAAATGCCACAGATGGAACTAAGGATGAGGCAATATAGGAAGACAGGGATTTTGTCATCCGACACGGATGAGGACAAGCTAAAGAACTATCACATGGATTAGATTTTTGACAACGTTGAGGAGTTTTCTAGATTCTATGATAAAATATGAATTCAATAACTTTGTGTAATCATTTCTCTTTCTTCAAAATGTCCAGTCCCAAAATCAAGGTAGGTTTTATAAATGGGATCATCTTATCTTATACTTGGGGAAATATGATATCTTCACTGCCCTACACAAGCCAGATCACAAAGTCACACTTACAGCTTCACCAGGTAATCCTGGAGGCCCTGGACGTCCAGTTTCTCCCTGTAGAGTAGAAATAATAGCAGTCGAGTTAAAAATAATTTCAATAATTACAAACAACAGTATTAAAAACAGCATAAGCTTAACTTTACTACTAAAAACAAAATTTGCTACTAAAAGGAACATAACTTTGCCATTTTTTTGACATTGAAAATCATTGTAATTTAATGAGTGAAATTGTTCAAATGGCATAAAAGATTACCTTAGTGTTCAACCAATCAACAGACAGTTCTTCTGTAACTAGGTCAGTAATAATGTTTAGGTGTACAAGCTTTTTCATAAATTATTAAAAATGTGCTATCAGAGGACTATGTTCTTTTTTTTTTTTTTTTTAAGCACTGTATAATCATCATCATATTGTGCCAGTTGTACATCACAGAGGTCAAATAAGCGAAAGAAAAGGTCACATTTCTATGCCGGTGCTGAACCGGGTATATGATGCTAGACTTGATTTATAGACTAATCGGCCATTACGCCGGTTATGTTTACTTCCCAGGACTTCATCTGGTGTTCACTGAAAACTAGGTTAATCTGATCAAAGTCATGTGTGAAAAGAATCTGACTTGATGTGGATTCAAACCCTAGACCTTTGGACTGGAAAGGAGAGTCTAATTGTTCAACCGCCAGGGCTCTCCCCTTACACAAGGTTGACAGTTGATTCCTCCAGTCTATTTTGTTCTGCGCAATCATGGATTAAATAGTTTGGCCCCTTGGCCTCTCTCATCATGGCTGTATGAATTCTCTTAAATCCTCTCTTTTTTAAATTCATTTGTTTACTGTTTCAGTGCATGTTTGATAATTTTCTATCTGCTTTGCCTCTTGATGTGCTATATATATCACCATTTTCTGTGTCTTATAACTGCTGCCAGTGGATGTCCAGACATTTCTCTGATTTCTTTACCTCTCTTGGATTCATACATTTAACCTATAATATTCTTGTGGTACTTTTTTATTTTTAAAATTACTGAACGTTTTTTAATCCTGGATAATTATGTTTGTCTAATACTTTTGTCAGATCTCCTTCAAAATATTTATCTCAGATCGCCTTCTCAATATACACCTGATCCCATTCTCAGTTTATCACTCGGATCCCAATATCCCAAAGCAAGCAGTGACTTTTTCAAATTTTATTCCAATATTTCTACAAGTGATTTATTGCAGTCTGTTTACTGACATGTTGTGGCATTTTCAGATATCATTAAATCTGACTCAGTAAGCTTTAAATTACTACTATTATTAATTTTTTTCTCAAAACTAAACTTGATTTGACCAGAAAGAAAGTTCTTGGGTTCAACAACTTTTTGTCGTAGGAATCATTGTTAAATCTTAAAATAAAATTAAAAAAAAAAAAAACTAGAGGCAATAACTTACAGTTGCTCCTGGCTCACCCCGAGGACCTCTTTCACCATCTACCCCATCTATTCCTCTAGGACCTGGCTCTCCTGACTGTCCGGGTGTTCCACGATTGCCTGGATTTCCCTAATTGACACACACACAATATTACAACCATTATTAAGCAAAAAACTGCTAATAATAGTAATTATGGTATAATAATAATAGAAATAATAATAATAGTAATAAAAGTAATAATAATAATAGTAATAACAATAATTAATACTAATAATAATAAAACTGAATAAATTATGGAGTGGGACAGACAGAACTACAAAAATAAGATTTTTAAGAGCATGCATCTTTCCCATTGAAACATACACCTATGAGACCTGGATTCTTACTAAACAAGCTGAACAGCGCATAAATGCCTTTGAATACAAATGTTATAGACGGGTTGTAAGAATATCATGGGTAAAGAAAAGAACATATGCATCCATACTTCAAAAACTGACTATTAAAGAAGGCTGGCTATTAAAGACAATAAAATACAGAAAATTGAAATACTGTGGTCACTTGAAACCTCATGAAAGTTTGGAGAGAACAAAAATGGAGGGGTATATGTCTGGGAAGAGAGGAAGAGGAAGGCTAAAGAGAAGATGGGTGCAGGATGTGGCGGATGATTTCCAGGTGGGCGTATCAGACACGGAACATCTTGCTTGTGATTGAGAAGTTTTTCGGAGGGTTGTTATAGGTGCAAGGTTCTGCAAAGGATACTGATACTGACTGACTGAATAATAGGGTAAAATCTTTCTGTTAATGGTCACTTATTTATTTGCTCTAATGCATTGGCTCCCTCAGTCTAAAAGTTTTGGAAGCCCTGATGTAGACATTAATTTAGAAAACAGCTGGAACAATGACATAATCTTTAGAAAGGACCCTGTTAACGAGGAATAAGTTTATCATCATCAATCAGTAGGTCCTTTACAGAACATCACTACTGTCATTGCTTGCCTAAAATTCTCTCCTTCTCTAGCCAATTCTCCAGCCCTATGTGCTTCCATACCCAGAGCATCATCAGTGTCTTGTATCCACTTTGGCAGAGGCAGGGCTCTACCTCACTGTCTAGAAACTGTACCCTCCATCACTGTTATCTCCAGGCCACCATGGGGTTTAACATGGCCAAACCCCCCAGCTTTCGGGACAGGATGTTGTTTATGAACCAGTTCTTCCCAGTGCTCAGATCACACAGAATGTCAATTGTTTTTCTTCTTTTTGGTCCATCATATACTAAGAATCTTTCTGTAGCATTTCAGTTGAAAAGCTCCGATTTATTTCTTAACAAGTTTGTAAACTACAAGACACCTCTGGTCCGATGTTTACTGATTGCTTTGTTGGACAAACTAGATACTAGAATAAGTAAAGGACCCTTTTCTCCCCTTTGGTGCATTAGTCATGTGGTGTTAAACCGTTAGTTTTATACACCAACTGGCACTCAATGGGTTATGTGGCAAACATCAAACCAGCTGCCTCAACTTCCCAGCACATATCATGCTACCCTTTTTTTAAAGGCCAACAGGCCAGACAAAATAAGTGGTTGGTCAGAATGAATGTGTTCACTGTGTAGCAAAGAAATGAAAAAACCAAATAAAATAAAGGGGCTGTTAACTTTTAGAACTGACCAGACCCTGTGAATATTTTAGTGTCACATTTTATGAGCACTGAGAGAGATATTAATAAACAATCAATTAGATAAACTCTTCTTATTTTCATTCACCTCTTAATGGTTTTCAGATGAGAAGGCCACATGCCTCTACAAAGTCTTTGGTGTGGCACATATCCTGCACTGATTGATACATCTTGGTTTCTATTGTTATGCCAACCTGCTAGTCCTTGGATCTCTCTACTGCATGTAGAGAGCATGTTTACAGCACATATTTGATGTTCTAGGCTGCTTGTCCACATGGACAAAGTTCTGAATCCCTGAGTCCCCAATCTTGGATTTCCTGTGCCTATGTTGTACAGCAGTCCTTAAGAAAAGGAATAGGGGCTTTTGAGCTGAAATGCTATAGAAAGATTCTCAGAATAACTTGGACAAAGAAGAGGAGAAATACTGACATCTTGAAAGATCTAAACATCAAGCAATATTGGCTAATAAACAGCATCCTGTCTCGGAAGCTGAAATATTTGGATAATATCAAGCGCCACGACGGATCGGAACAAATGATAGCATAAGGCATGGTACCAGGAAGGAGGGGCAGGGGCCGACCGACACAAAGATGGGCACAGGAAATAAGTGACTCCTTGAGTGTGAAAGTAGATAAGGTGGGAGAACTGGCGAGAAACCGAGTTTCTTTCAGGCAGACTGTGATGACAGTGACGTTCTGCAAAGGACCTGCTACATGATGATGATGATGATGTTGTACAGTCTGTATCTAGCTCACAATCTAAATACAGTTGTCTGTTGCTTAGACAGTTTTAAATTCCTCCCCAAAAGTAACCCTTCTTACCCATAAAAGTCATATTTTCTCAACTTGAAGCTAACTTACCCTTTCTCCTTGAGGGCCAACAGATCCAGGAGGGCCAGACACACCTCGTTCACCCTACAGAAAAAATTTATTCAAGGCATGAGAATCACTGAAAAACTAAATATAGAAATAACTGATTCAAAGCAAGATGATAATTGTATAATTCTAGTAACCAAAATACAGAAATAATTGATTTGAGAATCAAGGAAAAAATTATTGAAAAATCACTAAAGTATTTATGTACAATATAATACTAGTTAAGTACAAAACTGACCCAATTATATTAACAGTAAATTTACTCTCTTAACTTAGTGTAATTTATTTTGATATCTGCAGTACAAATTGCGTCTTTCATAATCTTCATTATGCTGAATGTCCTTGACTGATATAAACTTGTCAAGTCCAGTAACTGATAAATGTGGCAGTTACATACCCTAGTTCCTGCTGGGCCAGGAGGACCGGGTCGACCAATTTCACCAACACTGCCAGGTCCACCTTTCTCACCTGGTGCACCTTTGTAACCCGGGTTGCCAGGTTCACCCTGCAAATTTAATAAAATTAAAACAATTACAATTTTGAGTAAACAGCACATCTTAAATTTAAATCTAAAAGGGAAGGTATTTATGTCTTGGCCACATTCTTAAATATGATATAAACAATTTAGAAAGTAATTGTCCTCATCCTGTAGTGCTGTTATTTGTCATTGAGGGCTTGCAGTCTTTCCTCCATTCCATTCTGTTCCATGAAGTCAATTAAATATCATGGATGAAACCTTTGGCCTCTCTCATCAATGTTTGCTTTATGGTTTCTTTAGGGTGTCCTTACTTCTTCAGTTCTTTTGTTTTCCCATTTTAGTGCCTGTTACAATTCCTTGTGGGATGCAATTTTTAGTTGTTTTGAAGCCCCACAATGGTTTTTGCTGGAGGCCCTAAATTTAGCTGGGCCTTAAATATGGCCTAATGGTTGAACTGGGTTTCCGGGACCTCTCCACGGGTGATCCTCATCTGCATGGTGGCACTTTGTGTCACAGTGTGTTTATCGCTTGTGTGGGGTAGAACTTACCCACCTACCTACCTAGTGCCTGGTTGGTGAATCTCTGTTCATTTCTTCTCAGGCTATGTCCAACACAGACCATCTTCTTTGTCCTGTACCTGTTGTAACTAGTGGTTGCCTAGACATTTCTCTCATTTCTTTACTATTCTTAAATTCATTCCACTTTATTCTCATTAATTAAAGGTGAAATTATGGACAAGGAAGGAAAACTAAGGAAAATATAATACAGACATACACAGATGTATCAATGGATTTGAGGATTAACAAAGAGAGAGAGAGAGAGAGAATAACACAAGAAACACAGACCCTGGATGATGGCGATGATGACAGTGATGATGATAATGATGACAGTGATGATGATGACAGTGATGATGATGACAGTGACGATGATGACAGTGACGATGATGACAGTGATGATGATGACAGTGACGATGATGACAGTCATCAGCATGATAAAACATTTCTGTTATTAAGTATCATGGGGAAGGATAATCTGCAGTACAGTGCATGCTGGCTCGTACTGGCATTCTCTTTCTGTGAAGGCGTAATGTATCTTTAATGTTGTCAATCCATGTTATTCATGGTAGTTCTCTTGCTCTTGTAGCCAGTCTAAGATGTAGCGCCTGTGCTGGTATATGATGCTGTTGCAATCTTATGAGATGCCAAACCACTTCATCCGCTGTTTCTAAATAAACCTAGTATAAAGTATTGTTCCCACAATCTGTCTGAGAGTATCATTACTGACTTTTTCTCAGATTGTTAGGTTAGCGGCTCTTTTCTCAGGCATTTCATCTCAAAGAGAACTGGTTTGCTTGTAGTGTTTATGGCGTGAGTGCTTGAATCACACCTTTTCTTAAAATTCCTCCATTAAACAAAGATGATGAAAGTGATGGCCTTGAATAAACCTGGATTTATAACAAATTTGATTGAAACTGAATCACAAATATGTTAACTCTCTGGGTATCGTGCAACTCATCATGCATTTCTTGATCCCTTCAAGTACAGTAATTTTTTTCTTGCATTCTTCTATAATAGATAATTGCTACTTCTTCTTCTTCTTCTTCTTCTTTGTTCACCAGCTGTGAGATTCAGCAGAAAGTCCTGGTTGTTTCTTCCATTTGGACTTTGGCTTTTTGCCAGGACCTGAGTTTTGTATGTACATCTGTTTTACTGGTTTATTTGTGTGCATTTGGTTGTTTCTTGCTGCTCAGGTAGATGTACTCTGACTTCAATGGAAGCTCTCGAGGTGACTTTTTCGACATGCTTTTTTAGGGTAGAAAGTGGGTCTATTCATATTTTTCCGACAATGGGGCCCCTGAACCGACACGGGGAAACTGCTACATGAACTCTGTATATCCAAACTGTAAGTTTAACTTTCCTTGCCTCACGATGTCTCTAGTGTAATCCCTTCAGAGCTGAACACTTGAAATCTCTGAGGACAAGAAAACAGAGACTGAAAGGGATAACACAGATAAAACTTACAGCTGTTCCCTTAGCTCCTGGTGCACCCGGGGCTCCGTTAGGACCAGTAGGACCTCTGTTTCCTGGGAATCCAGGACTTCCTACAGGACCTGGGTCACCCTGAAACAAAAGAAAGAGCTCTGTTTTAGATTCATTAATAGAGGCATTCAGTGTGTGAAACTGAAACAAACAAGACTGAATAACATTTATACATGAGTGTCCTGGAACTTATATGATAACAGTTTCTATTTTGCTAGGTTTCAATTATAGATGAAGGAGGAGACAGAAAATGAAAAAGAAGATAATAAGGAGGAGAAAAAGAAAACAAAGAAAAAGAATCAGAAGGAGAAAAATACATAGAAAATGGAGGAGGAGAGGAACAACAACAGGAAAAGCAAAGGACAGACAGAGACCACACACCCACACGCGCTCACACATACACACATTAAAAAAAAAAACACACAAAAAACACACACCAAAGAACCAAAATTAAATAAAGAAAATAGAAGTAGGAAAGAGGAAAAGAAGTAGGAAAATGACCATGAAAAATGACTGCTTATAATAGTAGCATTTGTGTCAGAGTTGATTGAAAGTACAAGAGACAGAAGGTTGTGGATAGACTTGACTACCAACACCACATGGTATGGACTATGGAAGATCATCTGTGTCAGAGTTCATTGAAAGTACAAGAGACAGAAGGTTGTGGATAGACATGACTACCAACGCCACACGACATGTTTTTCAGAAGATAACAGAAGCAACTGCAGATGGAAGAGGACATGGAGAAGAGTTAATGGTCCTAAACATTTCAGGAATACTACAATTAATGACAAGGACAAATAACAGACATAACAAATGAGGATACTTACAAGAGGACCTTCTTCTCCAGAAGAGCCTGGAAGTCCAGGAGGTCCAGGCCGGCCGGGTTCTCCAGGTATCCCAGCTACACCATTCTCCCCTCTGAGTCCTTGAGCTCCAAGAGATCCCTTGGACCCAGGGGCACCAGAATCACCTTTAGGGCCTTGCTGTCCAGGAATACCTGGTGATCCGGTTGGACCAACTGGACCTGGTGGCCCGGAGGGACCAGGGGAGCCATCAGCACCACGGAGACCCTGGAATGTTAGGACAAGAGTTGATAGTGATCATAGAACTTATGTTGAATGTTAAATTACGGATTAATATCACTGCACTCAGGACATTCATATAAGTGCTCAGTTCCCATCTTCAGCAGCAAGTGCAGTTCCAAGTCAGATAGTGCTAGTAAAAGACTGATTGCATATCCGCCTTTTTCCTGAGTCCCAAGCAACGGCCAGATCCCTTGGTCACTTCCCGCAGCACAATTTACCCCAGATCATGATGATCTAATTGTACCTCTGTACTGTTCACTCGCACTCAAAGGATCCTTACAACGTCTAGCTTGTAATGCATCAGTTCACCACCAAGTTGTGCACACCTAGCCACTCTATCTGTCTGCTTATTTTCCAACACACTGGCATAACCAATTTGCATGCAGCCTACCTGTCTCCTCCTTTCTTAACAGGCTTTGTTGAGAAACTTATTTAAGGAATAAATAATACATTTAGCAAACCATAATTACTAACATATACAGCTGACTAACTTATAAAACACATCTCCTGTCCTGCTAATACTTACCAGATTTATTGTAAGCAGAATTTAATGCTATAATTGAATTATGAGAAAAAATAATTGCAAATTAAATGAAAACATGCAAGCAATAATTTTCTTCTTTTTTAGTTGAAATTTTCTTTGTAAATGTTAACATTTGATTAGTAATACACTTCATACAATAAAGGATTTTACTAACAACTGTATCTGGTTTCAACTATCTCGCTAACTAGCTCGCAAACAGGGACCATCTGTATCAACTCTTGTCAACTTCCACTGAGAGAGACTCTTGGTAAAGACTGAGAACATTCAAAAGGAACAGCACAAAACGAAAGAATGAAATCAAGAAATAACATCATGGGACTTTGCATGTTCCCACAAATGCTTCAGTAGCTTCTTTAGTTGTCATTGAAGAGTTTCAATGCTAACTGCATCAGCGACAATCTGATTAAAGGTTTACATATGTCTCCCCTTCCGCTAGGAGTGCTGTCAAGACCCTCTGCACACTCCTAGTTGAATCGGTCTTACCTGGTATGGATGTTCCCTCCGCTCTGCCGCACCATCCACCTGATCCCAGGGAGGTGTCACCACATCTGCCTTTCCATAGAAACGTTATCTAAAGAAATACCAGCTGATCTATCAGGCTGCCCATTGTTTGGTGCGATAATATGCTCTAAACTGACTGACTGACTTTCTACCCCACCAGGACATCACACAAGCGATAAACACCCGATGACACAGAGTGCCACCATGCGGTTGAGGATCACCGTGGCGAGGTCCCAGAAACCGCGTTCAGACAATTGGCCATATTTATGGCCTGCCTATATTGCGGCCCCTGGCAAAAGCCAGAGTGGGGCTTCAAATAAAAAAATACGTCCTAAAAAGGACGTAAGGGTACAATTTAATGTTGATTATCTAAACAAAAAATCTGGATGCTTCTAATTTGAGCCCTATCAAGCAATTGAAGGCACCTAATGCCTAATATAGCCAATTTCAAAACTACTTACTGGAGCACCATTAGAACCATCTTCTCCTCTTTCACCAGGTGAGCCCCGTGCTCCCTGAGGTCCGTCAGGTCCTGGAGCACCAGGGGGTCCAGAGTCGCCCTAGAGAGCAACAAGAAATAAAACATAATTTGTACCTACAAGTTAGTTGTGTCCCTTTACAGGACGTTGCAGAACCCAACCCCAGCAGTTTTTTTTGGCTGTTGTGACTTTTCTAGGCAAACCTATGTTTATTATTTTGTTACTACTTTCTAAGCGGTCAGCTCCCGATATTGCTATCAAAACTAATGTAAAACGGTGTGCTGCCAAGTCGCCTGCAGCGGGGATTTTTGTTTGTACACACAATTTCTATTTTCTCCATGCCTGATGAGACTGTCTTGGCTTTACAACTATACAACGTTCTGCACCAGAAGTGATTTGTTTGAATCTTTCGAATCCCACTTGAGTTGTAGCAGCCCATAACAAGCACACACTCACACATACCTACGTGCACCATCCTACATGCGCACACACATATATACATAAAGGCACAGACACATACAGATACATATATGTTTACGAGTTTCATGTTTACAGAGATTTATGAGGATTATCACCAGTAAAAGTAAAAAAAAAGTAAAAGGACCCTTTTCCACGCCTTTAGGCATATAGGGCATATAGGGCTAGACCTATACTTTTATAGACCAATCGGCACAAGATGGGTGATGTGGTCAGCATCACGCCAGCCGCCTTTACTTCCCGGGACTGCAGCCGGTACCCACTCAAGGCGGGGTCGACCTAGGAGCCAAGGTCATTTTTGAAAATAGTCCGGCTCCGCCAGGAAGTGAACCCACGACCTTCCGATCCATGACGATTGTCTAGCCGCTCATTATCACCAGAGCTCCAGAATTCATGCTTCATGCGCCACTCTCAGCAGGCGGCTAGCTGTTCTGTAGAAAGAGACCGAGCCATATGGGATAAAACCGGGTGCAATAAAGTCGATCCTGTCGACTCTAACCTTTAACCTTGATGTCTGCTGCTCAGATTTCATTGTTTTTAAACCACCACCATGACCTTCATAATTTCATAAAAGTAACCATCATCATCATCATCGTCATCATCATCATCATCATCATCATCATCATCATCATCATCATCATCATCATCGTCATCATCATCATCATCATCATCATGTAGCGGGTTATTTGCAGAACGTCGCTCTCATCACAGTCTGCCTGAAAGAAACTCGGTCTCTCGCCAGTTCTCCCACCTCATGCACTTTCACATTCAATGAGTCACCTATATCCTGTGCCCATCTTCGTGTCGGTCGGTCCCTGCCCCACCTTCCTAGTACCATGCCTTCTGCTATAATTTTTTCCAATCCGTCGTGAAGCTTGATATGACCAAAATATTTCAGCTTCCGAGACAGGATGCTGTTTGTTAGCCAATCTTTCTTGATGTTCAGATCTTTCAAGATGTCAATATTTCTCATCTTAACCACCATCACTGGTTATTATTACTATCACAACCACTAACATTAGGCGGCTGCCGTGGTGTAGTGTCTAGACACTCGCCACTGGATCAGAAGGTCTTGGGTTCGGGTCCTATGGGAAGCAGCATTTATTTTCAAAATTTCTTTGGCTCCAAGGTCGAGCCAGCCTTGAGTGGGTACCTGGCAAAGTCCTGGGAAGTAAAGGTGGCCGGCGTGATGCTGACCACACCACCTATCAAGTGCTGACTGGTCTAGAAAAAAATAGCCCATATGCCGAATACGCCTGAAGGCGTTGGGGAAAAAGTCACACACAAACAAACACCCCACTAACATTGAACTTGTTATCACCATTACTATCACTGTAACCTGTAAGAGTCGGACTGAGAGTCTATCACCCACCCCCTTCTCACCCCCCCCCCCCCAATCTCCACAATGTTTTTTTAAATGTCGGCTTCAAAAATCTGTTTCATCCTATCTTCTCTATCTTCGTTTACTCCACCAGGACATCACACAAGCGATAAACACCCGATGACACAAAGTGCCACCATGTGGATGAGGATCACCCGTGAAGATGTCCCGGAAACCGCGTTCAGCCATTAGACCATATTTATGGCCGGGCTATATTGCGGCCTTTGGCAAGAGCCAAAGTAGGGCTTCAAAAAACAAAAAAATTGCATCCAGCAAAGGGATGTCTTGATTTTTATGTTTCATCCTTTCATCGTTCGTAACAATGGTAGCAACACGAGGAACAGAGGCTGATTCTTCAATTTGCATATTTTACTAAATCATAATGCCTCTGTTAGGGTATGATCCACGATAACCTACCCACGGTACACACTAGCTCGCTACTGACTGGTCGGCCTCCAGTCACCCGACCTTCGGACACCGCAATGGGAGTGTTTGGCAATCTGTTCATATTGTGTGTTGTATATTTAAGCACGTCACTGCTTTTAACACTACAAAAACATTTACAAACTGGGTCTAACCCACAATCCCCCTAGAGAGTACTGCAACCTATGTCACAGGCATTCTCTTATTTGGAAGAAAAACGTAAAGGCAAGACAAGCCAGACACCCCCCCCCCCCCCGGGACAACAGATAAGTCTAAAAAATCTATTAATGGAAAGTGACGTAGTTCGGCTGGGGAAAGTTATCTTATATCTAATCTCTCTGTTATATTGCCTATCAAGATAAACAACAACAGTAACAACAGCAATAACTATAACAACACTAACAACAACACTTACAGGCTCTCCAGTTTGGCCGTCTCCTCCTCTCTTGCCTGGGAATCCATTAAAACCTCGGTGACCTTTCTGGCCAGGCAAACCTGGCATTCCATTGGCGCCAGAGAGGCCCTGTACAAATTACAACAATAACCAGATTGGAACTCTTGAAACAGCAAACACTATATATATATAAGAAACAAACAATGTATTGATTAGAGCATATTTGTTTTGTTTTCTTCTGAACCAGATGCACTTGAGCATAGTTCATCAAGCTCAGTCTCGTGAGTATCGAAGCCCTTCAGCCTCGGTGTGACTTACACCGTTAATCCGGTTCTCGGTGTTCTTAGTGCACTTGTTTCCATAGTGAGGCGCACACGCCGTCTGGAGGTGACATGTTCGAATACCGGCACGGTAACTATAGCTTTCGATTTTTATGTTGTCTACTGTATTCTTCTATACTTCTACTTCTTTCTATGAGTGCCGATCAACACATTTTCTGTTACTTTATTAATATATAACCGTAAATCTGGGGAGTGTGCGGTTTTCTGCGCAAACCCGAGACCGGACACGCACGGGGATTTTCACCTGGCGTCCAACGCACTCATAAAAAGAAGTAGAAATATAGAAGGACGCACTAAACTACAAGAAAATCTAACGCAATAATTACCATGCAGGAAATCACACTGCAAAAGCCTTTTTTTTATGTAGAGCAATCAGCATTCGCTGGATGATGTAGTTAAAAAAAATATTTCCTGGTGCCCGGTGTAGGAAGGGGTAATAAGACAAAGAAGATGCCGGGCACATCATGAAGGAGAGAGAGACGGCAGAGAATCACCAGACAGACACTGAAATGGGAAACTGGCTGAGGAAATGCAGACGCGCAAAAGAAACCCTAAATAGAACGTTAATGAGAGAGGCCAACGATTGTGGAAGATAGGCCAAAATGAAGGACATGTGAGCTCTGTGTGTCGTGTAAGGGGTACGATATAATGCTGATGACCTTATGCTGGATCCACCTAGGGGCTCAGCTATTTTTTAAAAGAAATTCTGGTACAACTCACAAAAGTCACTCCATCTCGTCGGCCGCGAGATTTCGTAGGGGATTTCCCGGGACACTCCTGTGGTCTAGGGGTGTCACGTGTTCTTCGTTTTGAACGTTTTAAGCGCACCCACTACCGACGACAGCCACCGCCAACGAGCGTAAAAATACCACACACACAAATCAGTGATTCGATACTTACAAACCGTCAAATATTTGGCGTTTTCCCCTGCAGTACTTCTTCCTTGCACACAGGCGCCTTCGGTGCCTCAGACTTACTCACAACAACAACACATTAAAGAGACAACAATCATTCACAGAAAAAACAGTTGCGAATAGAAAGCCTAACACTTTTGTCTGGGATACAGTGTGTCGACTGTGTCGAGCCTATTCGAACCACTCTTCGGCACGCTGTGTACAGACTGCGAATGTAGAAATCTCATAACACCCCTAGAACATAGGACAACCCTTGGAAATCGCTACGAAATCTCGTGACCGACGAGATGGGGTGTCCTTCGTGAGTAGGACCAATATTCTTGCCGTGAAGGGAATTTTCATACACGATCACGTCTTGTAGGCCAGTATGTTACCTGCACCGCCAACTCTAGATTTATAGCTAAAGATGGCCGTGGTTACCTGCTGCATCACCACGCATCCCTGCTTGTCTGTGAGTGTGCTATCAATCAGTTCTGACCATTTTGCCATTTACATTGCACGGTTCTGAAACTTGGACATTTAACAACAATAACATTAAAACATAATAATAATAATAATAAAAATAATAAAAAGGAGATGAAATAACACTGAAAATTATTCAAAGAACACTGCTATATAAACAACAGAACTGACCCCCATATTGCCAGTGACCAAGATGTGTGGACAGACAATAATGCCTAGGGCACATAACAAGACACGAGGATGATGACGAAAATGATAAGGATAAAGAAACATAGAATACATTGGTGTGGTATTTACTCTCAACATGCGCGTTTTTAAAGCGTAACAGTAGCCAGAGGAAAAGAAGTTAAAACAAACTTACCCTAGGACCAGGTGGTCCTGCTGGGCCAGATTGTCCATTTCTTCCATTTTCTCCCTTGAAGGAAAAGTAAATTTGAGAAAATAAACACAGAGTTCAGATACACTGCAAAGATTTAAGTCAAGACAATACATTATTGGCAAATTTAAACTTAGTACACATAATTGCTATATTTGTGTTAAATATCTTCTTTTTCTGCGTTGATGCCAAGACGTAAATGCATTGTGTCCGTTTAAAGCAGGACTGCGATATTTACGCCTCTCGACCGATACATTTGACTTCTGCAGGCATTTGTTGCCAGGGTTAGCCTCCTCAGGTTACATTATACGATACTGATAATTTTTAAAAGATTACGAGGATACTGATAACAGTAATGATCATTTATATATTAGTATTAAGATAAATCTGCCTGATTTTTAAATTGCTTCTTCTTTTCACCCCTTTCTGTGTTTGCTTTTAAAAGCGCATTTAGCTCTTTTCTGGTTTCGCTAGGTTGCGATATCTGCGCCTCTCGTCTCAATCTACTGTGCCTCTCGTCTCAACCTATCCTATGTACGCAAACTCGTAATACATCACCTTTTACGTCATGCTTGTTTTAGATAAATGGCTTTGTTATTTTTTTCTCCCAACTAACTTCTCTATAACCCACTCATAGTCTTCCTTTTTTCCCAGCGACCATTTCATTCCACAATTTAGAAAAAGGTACATAATTTAAAAAAAAAATCGCGACACATTTGATCTAATTTACCAACTGGTTAATAATCATTCCAAAAACGGACTTACCTCAGGGCCAGGGGGTCCAGGAGGGCCTGGGCTGCCTCGACTACCTGCGGCACCCTGTACAAGATTAGAAAACACAATATAGCTTGAAATCATACAGAGCAAGAGTTCTCGACTTTTTTTATTTCACTAAATGCACATTATGTTAAAACATATACTACAGGAAAAGTACAGAAATAAAATAAAAACCTTAACCACATACAACACAATCAATCAGTCACTTAATCAACAAGTCATTCAATCGATTAACAAAGATGTTTCTGCAATGATTTTTATTTGATGCGAAAAGGCCACATGAAAATGCGGAAAAAGTAACAAGAGGGCGGCAACTTCACCTTAGGAAGTTGACCTTTGGACAATCAAAGAATGAAGAACTCACATCACTGCACTCGAGACATTCCCACACGTGCTCCATCTCCTTGATTTAAGTAGCCAAGGAAGAGTCTGACATACTAATTGTACCAGCCGCAACCTGATTAACTCTTTGAGTCCCGGGAGGTTTAGCACCGGAGGCCCAAGGGGTAATCCAGAGAGTCGTAAAAATGGCGCATCTGACGTTCATTGGGCTTTTAAGTAAGAACCTATGAACGTATGATGCGTTCTTTGGGACTCTAAGAGTTAAAAGTCTGCCCATATTTCCTCTTCCATGTTGAATATTTTTCAATAGATGAATTCGCTGTCTGTTCTATTGCACTGTCTATGTGATCATAGAGGGCCTTCATCACGCTCGATTTATAATAAAGTAGCTCAACACCTAGAGGAACGTCAGTAGCCAATCTATCAGCATGCTCATCACCTCACACTCCTGAATATTCTAGACAGAAAATCCATGATATGCATCTGATCTGAATCTCATCAAGATCTTAGTCTCATCAAGATCTGAGTCTCATCAAGATCTGAATCTCATCAAGATCTGAATCTCATCAAGATCTGAATCTCATCAAGATCTTAGTCTCATCAAAATCGTAGTCTCATCAAGATCTGAGACTCCTCAAGATCTGAGTCTCATAGAGTGATGCAAGCCACCATGCGCGCAGGACGCCAGTTTCAATTTTCCGAAACATGCTCTGCGAGTCTATTACATTTCCATGTCGGGTTGTGCTGTTCTCAAACTTCATAGTTAGAGCCTATTTGTGTATGTGTACTGTGTTGTCCTTTATGTGCTGATGAAGGCTAATCGCCGCAACGTCCTTTGTTTGTTTATTGTGATCGATTTTGTAAAGCTAACATAAACTTGTTGTTTTTCTTACCAACTTTTTCTCTCCCTATAATTTTCTACTCCTTATAAAAACTCCAGCCATCGGAGAGCTGCCATTACTGCCTCCACCTCCATTCTCATACTGGATGTTGTGACGTTTAAGTGAGGCCCTTCTCTGGACCGAGTGGACATAATTAATATTATAGCAAAGACAACGAGTGCTAAGGATCTCAAACATGAGGATACTGATTTCTTTCTAATGCGGATGCGAAATCTAGATACATCAGATGGAGCAGCGTGACGTGACAGCCATGCATGAGCTAGTCGCCACCTTAGCCAAAAAAAAACAGCACGCATCAGAGCAAGCACACTAAATAAACTTGCTTAGGATTAGATCGGAGCACAAATGGGTGTGCTCGACGTGCAATAAAGATAAACTTTAAAAGGATAACTAAGAATGAATCATTTAATTAGATCTCCAACATTCTCTATTCTTCTGGTTTCACACCGGAGAAACTACGCTCGGCTCGTCTCTTGATAACTGCTGTCCGTTTGCATAAACATCTATGTTTGGCTTGCCAACTGTCTATGTCTCCATCTAGTCCGGTTATAACAAGAGTGCTATCTCTAACATCATTACCAGGTAGCTGGTCCTTTGCAGAACGTCGCTCTCATCACTGTCTGCCTGAAAGAAACTCGGTCTCTTGCCAGCTCTCCTGCCTAACACACTTTTAAAACAAAGGAGTTACTTATATTCATGTGCCCAACTTCGTGCTGGTACGCCCCTGCCCGTCCTTCCTAGTACCATGCCCTCCATTATTATGATCAAAAATGACCTTGGCTCCCAGGTAGACCCAGCCTTGAACTGGTACCAGTTTGGGAATGTCCCGAAAGCAGTGATACCAGTTTCCTAATTCATTTATTCATTCATTCCTTTATTTATTCATTCCTTCATTCGTTCATTCATCCATTCATTGTGTGGCTAAAGCAAGAGAATACCCTAAACATATCAAAAGAGTAATGAAGATGTCCTAAAAGAAACAGGCCCACGAAGAAAACTGATTGTCCACAAACTTTTTGTGTCATGTCATGAGAAGAAGAAAACTGGAGTACATCGTGACAGTAGGAAAGTTGGAGGGAGGGGAGGCAGAGAGAGACGGAGAGAACAAATGCTGAATAGATTGACATCATACCATGGAAGATCATCTGTGTCAGAGTTCACTGAAAGTATACGAGACAGAAGGTTGTGGATAGACACGACTACCAGCGCCACATAGCATGCCTTTAAGAGGAAGAAGAAGTAGCTGAATCTATCTATCTATCTACTTTTACCCCACCAGGACATCTCACAAGCGATAAACACCCGATGACACAAAGTGCCATCATGTGGATGAGGATCGCCGTGGAGAGGTCCCAGAAACAGCGTTCAGACATTTGGCTATATTTATGGCCTGCCTATATTGCGGCCCCCGGCAAAAGCCAGGGTGGAGCTTCAAATAAAAAATTTCATCCTGAAAAGGACGATAGGGAATAATACCAGTAGTGGCTGAAACAATGTTTGACAGATTAAACCAGAAAGCCTGTGAGAAAATGAGTTGAATTATTATGAATGAATGAGAACAAAAAGTTTTTTAAAATATGTATGGATATATGAATTTATTGAATACTTACAGGAGGGCCTGGGTCACCAGGTTCACCTCTAGGTCCCGGTATACCCTGCGGTCCAGGGGCTCCCGGCGGTCCGCTGGGACCTCGAGGTCCAGCAACGCTCTGTGTGGAAAAGAGAAGATACGCTATAACAACTCAACACATTGGTGTCTGCTCTTGCTAATGTACAATGTAAGGGAGGTAACATAATAATAACTGTTTAACTCTCATGTATCCCAGTATAACTATTTGATAGTAAACGGGGTATCCGTTGTTTGCATCCGGAAAGTGGGTCTTTGAGCCAGTGGGCGTTAGATTTTCAGGCTGTACTCCCCCAGAGAAGAAATTCTAACGAAAAAAAAAAATATGTCAGGATGTTCCAACAAGATTGGAGGGGTGTTCATGTCTCTCCCTAATCTCTGTCCCGGATGTTCAGGTTAATAAAAAACGAACCTCTGTCACATCACACATGTTGTTATGCTTAACAGTATGCGATATGCCTACTAATCATCATCATCAAGTGCCTTTTCACAATCTACGATCCGCAGATGCGTGTATCAGCGCGTGTGCTAACACCCCTCCATGCCACGACAAAGGACCGTCAAAAATATCCTCGCTTTCTGATCCTCTGTTTCTCTTTCCACAGATTTTTCCAGTGGTCACAAGCTCCATCTTCCCTCTTCTCAAAATATGACCCACAAAAATGATGGCTGCCTTTTTTCTGATATTTGTGATAAGTTGTCTCCGAGCACTCGTCTTTTTCAAAACATCCGGGTTGCTCTTCTTATCTGTCCAAGGAATTCCAAGGTATCTTCTGTAAAACCACATGTCAGATGCCTCAAGATATTGTTCGGCTTGTTGATTAATTGTCCAAGACTCACAGCCGTATGTTAAATCTGGCTCTGTGAAGCATGAGAGAATTCTTGTTCTAGCCCCCAATGACATAGATTTATTGCACAAAATGTTCTTCATTTTATAAAATGCAGTTTTGGTTTGTCGTATTCTGTTCTTTATCTCTGTGATACATCTTCCATCGGATGTTAACCCAAAGTATTTCAGGATCCTCGCCGGTGCTACAGAGCACCTGCACTGTGCTGAGCATCTTCGGACTCAGACTTGAGTTGGAAGAAAAACGGAGCACTTATGGGTTACTACCCGTGTGCCATGATGCTGATCCGTTGTTCAAACCTGAGACCATCGGATGTTATCCATACGCTCAGTCAGATACTTAAATTTTTGTACTTGTCCCAAAATAACACCTTAGACTTCTGTTATACATTTAGGTACTATTCTTTTCTTAGAAATCAACTTCTGTCATCCCATTATTCAAACTGAGGCCCGTTTTATCACTATCTCCCACCACTGTATCTATCAATTCCTGTATTTCTTTCTTACTTGTCTTCATCAAGACGGTGTTATCAGCATAACGCAAGTTGTTTATGTCCCATCATGTCTACTATCGTTATCATCATGTAGCAGGTCCTTTGCAGATCGTCGCTCTCATCACAGTCTGCCTGAAAAAACTCGACATCTCGCCAGTTCTCCCGCCTTATGTGCTTTCATACCCAAGGAGTCACTTAAATCCTGTGCCCATCTTCGTGTCAGTCGGTCCCTGCTCCTCCTCCATGGTACCATGCCTACTGCTATAATTTTTTCCAATCCGTCGTGGCGCTTGATATGACCAAAATATTTCAGCTTCCGAGACAGAATGCTGTTTATTAGCCAATCTTACGTTTTGACATGTGTACGCATGTGCGAGTATACACCTACTTATATGTAAAACAAAGAGTTCAACCTACCGCCTGTGCATAAGGAGCCTGGAAAGCACTTCCTCCGGCCTTGACCGAGTTGGAGGAGTAGTAAGAGTAGTAACTCTGATCTGCACTCTGAGGAAAAATAAACGGAGATATTCAATGTGTGGTGCTTTCCCTTGTCTTCCGCCCATGTTCGCAGTTATAAATAATACTTTCTGTTACTTGATTAATGTTCGCAGTTAGGGGCTTTCACTGAGCTTTTAGAGATGACGTAAGGGCGGTAGCCTCCCTCATCTGAGGTCTGAACTTAGCAAGTTGTCTGCCCCCAAGAGTAGTGTGCTCCGGTGCCATCTCATTATGATGTACCATGAAACAAAACCGCGGCATAAACTTGATAAGAACAGGCAGAGTGGGAGTAGAAAGACGATGCGGTAACACGCTGGGGGTCTATCAGAAGTGAACAGAGTCTATCCAGAGATAACTTGACCGGCATGCAAGGACATGTCATCTTTGTACATCTCAGGACACGGCATACAAAGCTTGAGCATATGTACAGGCTTCATGTAAGTATGTTCAATACTGTGCCCAGGTAGGCTGTGTATGCATGCTGCAGAACATGTCCTGCAAGAACGTACCTTGTACAGCAGTTAACTAACCCAATATGAGCCGCATGTTTTTGTTGTTTTAACCCCCCCCCCCCCCCCGACTGTCGTCTGTTGTCCTAATATAACCTAACGGTTGAAGTAGGTTACCGGCACTTCACCTCCATGATTCTCATCTAAATGGTGGCTCTTTGTGTCACATGGTGTTTACCGCTCGTTGAGCAGTCCTAGTGTGGTTGAACGTTACTCTCCCTTGTAGAGCCCGTTAAGAAAGGAATACTGGCCCACTGAAACTATAGTGTACTCAAAGTTGTATGGAACTAAAAGTAAACTCCTAAAAACAATCAAGTTTTTCACCAGAACTTGTCTGTCAGTGAACATCAGAGAGCTATCACAAGAGAAAGAAGATTTTGGAGTGTATTTTCTAGAATTGTCTGTGTCAGAGTCTTAAAGTTTCCAATAACATGATAGTCCATGGGTACTTGGAATTCATTTTTTTCTGTTTGAACTTGGTAGATGTGACGAGACAGTGGAAGCAGCTTGGTAGATGTGACGAGACAGTGGACGCAGCTTAGTAGATGTGACAAGACAGTGGAAGCAGCTTAGTAGATGTGACGAGACAGTGGAAGCAGCTTAGTAGATGTGACGAGACAGTGGACGCAGCTTAGTAGATGTGACGAGACAGTGGAAGCAGCTTAGTAGATGTGACGAGACAGTGGACGCAGCTTAGTAGATGTGACGAGACAGTGGAAGCAGTCTAGTAGATGTGACGAGACAGTGGAAGCAGCTTAGTCACAAGAGAAACAGTGAAGCAGCTTAGTAGAGTGACGAGACAGTGGAAGCAGAAGTAGATGTGACGAGACAGTGAAGAGCTTAGTAGATGTGACGAGACAGTGGAAGCAGCTTAGTAGATGTGACGAGACAGTGGAAGCAGCTTAGTAGATGTGACGAGACAGTGGAAGCAGCTTAGTAGTTTGACGAGACAGTAGATGTGACGAGCAGTGGAAGCAGCTTAGTAGATGTGACGAGACAGTGGAAGCAGCTTAGTAGATGTGACGAGACAGTGGGAAGTGAAGCAGCTTAGTAGATGTGACGAGACAGTGGAAGCAGCTTAGTAGATGTGACGAGACAGTGGAAGCAGCTTAGTAGATGTGACGAGACAGTGGAAGCAGCTTAGTAGATGTGACGAGACAGTGGAAGCAGCTTAGTAGATGTGACGAGACAGTGGAAGCAGCTTAGTAGATGTGACGAGACAGTGGAAGCAGCTTAGTAGATGTGACGAGACAGATGATGCAGCTTAGTAGATGTGACAAGGAAGCAGCTTGGCAGCTTAGTAGATGTGACGAGACAGTGGAAGCAGCTTAGTAGATGTGACGAGACAGTGGAAGCAGCTTAGTAGATGTGACGAGACAGTGGAAGCAGCTTGGTAGATGTGACGAGACAATGGAAGCAGCTTGGTAGATGTGACGAGACAATGGAAGCAGCTTGGTAGATGTGACGAGACAATGAAAGCAGCTTGGTAGATGTGACGAGACAATGGAAGCAGCTTGGTAGATGTGACGAGACAGTGGAAGCAGCTTGGTAGATGTGACGAGACAGTGGAAGCAGCTTGGTAGATGTGATGAGACAGTGGAAGCAGCTTGGTAGATGTGACGAGACAGTGGAAGCAGCTTGGTAGATGTGACGAGACAATGGAAGCAGCTTGGTAGATGTGACGAGACAATGGAAGCAGCTTGGTAGATGTGACGAGACAATGGAAGCAGCTTGGTAGATGTGACGAGACAATGGAAGCAGCTTGGTAGATGTGACGAGACAGTGGAAGCAGCTTAGTAGATGTGACGAGACAGTGGAAGCAGCTTAGTAGATGTGACGAGACAGTGGACGCAGCTTAGTAGATGTGACGAGAGAGTGGAAACAGCTTAGTAGATGTGACGAGACAGTGGAAGCAGCTTAGTAGATGTGACAAGACAGTGGAAGCAGCTTAGTAGATGTGACGAGACAGTGGAAACAGCTTGGTAGATGGGACGAGACAGTGAAAGCACAGAAAACCTTGCATGTTTTAATCAAGGGTTTCATTCATGTCATATAAAATTACTTTAGAGTTTTGGGAAATGCCATTTTGGTCTTAGGACTCAGCGAAAGGAAAACCCCAACCTCATCTCCTTGTGGCAGAGGAGGGTCAACATACTGCGGTGTGGCCAACGCAGCTTTCGGAATTCATTCATTCATTCATTCATTTATTCATTCGTGTATCACTACTATCATTGCCATCGTCATTATTATCGTCATGTGTTTCATCATCATTAGGCTTTTTTTTAACGTGGGCGGATCTTGCTAACCAACTCGCCAAAGCCATGGACGCACGGGCCCATAGCACAATGTAAGCTGGAAAGACGGAAAGGTACCAGCAGCTATCATCATCATCATCATCATCATCATCATCATCATCGTCATAATCAACATTATCATCGTCATGATCATCATCATCATCATCATCAGCTCTAACGTAAGCGGTAAAAAATGGCAGAAATAGTTACAGGTTCGGACCTCGACTGCGTGCTTGTGTGAATATCCGTGCGCGTGTGTGTGTGTGTGTGTGTATGTGTGAATGTGCGCACGCGCGTGTGTGTGGTGAATGTGCGCGTTCGTGTTTGTGTGTGTGTGGGAGGGTGGTGGGTATGTGATAGAAAGAGAGAGAGAGAGAGAGAGAGAGAGAGAGAGAGAGAGAGAGAGAGAGAGAGAGAGAGAGAGATGTTGAGAAAAGGAGAGAGCGGAAGTGAGTGCGGCGAGACATGTCGTGACAAAGAAGAAAACAAAAACTAAATCAAAGCAGTCTTTCAATGTTGTAACTCACCATTCCTGCAATGTCCGCAATAGAAGCAGGCATCTCCTGGTTGGACACCTCGTCCGTGCCATTCCAAGCCTGCGACAGAACAGAGAGAACGTCATCATTTTTAGAATACTGAAGATTGCAGGGCATGCCAAACTGAGGGCTCACCTTATATCGGTCAAGTGTTTTCATGAGGACCACACACGACAACTAATTAAATGGTCTGACAGAATCACTAATGTAGAGCTTTGGGACAGAACTAAACAAGTTCCAGTGGAGCAAAAAGTGAAGAAAAAACGCTGGCTTTGGATAAGACACACGCTCAGAAAATCTGAGAACAATATAACTGGAATGTCTTTGCACTGTATCCACAGGGGCATAGAAATAAAGGCAGACCAAAAACACACGGAGAATGAAGATAGAGAGAGAGAGAGTGAAGTTAAAAAGATAGGAGGGGCATGTGGTGAGCTGCATGTATTAGCAAAGATAGAACGACTTGGCGTGAATTAGTTGAGGCCCAATGCTCCATTGGGGGATAGAATGCGGAAGAAGAAGAAAGTGGTAGTTTGCCCACCATAAAAATCCCTACTTGACAAGGCAGGGAAATATAGTTAATACTGGGGAAAAAAAAAAACTGTTTTAAACTAAGTATTTATGTACTTAAATAATACGGACACAAGCAATACAATGCACTGTATTGTTTGTGATCGCATTTTTTTGGGGTTTAAATTTACAACGGGAAAAATCGCTTGTAAAAGAAATTATGTATGTCAATGGATTCTACAACCTCGCATCCGGTATATAACTGTTTGATGACGAAGCACATACATTCCCTTAAGAAACATTACGCAATTTGTTTATGTTGGTTCCAACATCTACATATAATAGGTACAAGCATGACGTTAGCACATATACATAAATAAAAAAAAGATCGACTTTTTCTGTCATTTCCTAAACACTGTTACCATAACAGCGGCGTCTGGCACGTGCCATTGGGGAAATGAAAATACACAGTAAAAGATCAAAGTTCACACGTTCAGGTCAAAATTTCTCAAAATATGGTTCCAGTCTTAACAGATTTTTCTTTGCGATGCAGACAGACAAACACCGCTCTGATTAAATAATTTACTTCACAAACATAACTGCAAACGCAAATATGACTCATAGGGTAAATAAACATCAACATCAATCGCCGGCGTGGGCGAGGATGACCCTCCATCTCACACGATCAGTATGTGAATGTTGTGTTGTTGTTGTTTCTGTGGTGCTGTATGATTTGTGACTACATTGGAGAACTATGCAGTGTGTATTGTAGAGATGCTGGTCACCAAACAACCGGGCTATTATCATGTGGGACACTATTTTTCGTTATTTTGAAGCCCACCCCGGCTTTTTGCATGAGGTCGTAATATAACCTAACGGGTGAACGCGGTTTCTGGGACCTCTCTTCGGGTGATCCTCATCCGCATGGTGGCACTTTGTGTCAGCGGATGTTTATCGCTTGTGTGATGTCCTCGTGGGGTAAAATTTACTTACTTACTTACAGGAACCATGGAACCGGGAAGGATTTCTCTACAGAGGATTCTGAAAATATTGTTTAGTCTGGCTAGCAACAAACGGGAATTTCCACTGTAGTGCACACGTGGAGGAGGAGGGAGAATAAAGAAGAACACTTCAGTAATAATAGTGAGATGACGATGGGGAAAAAGAGAAACAAAGAAAGACAGACAAATAGACAAAAATCAGACAGACAGGCAGAAGGATGGATAGATAGATGGATTAGACAGACAGACAGACAGACAGACAGACAGACAGACAGACAGACAGACAGACAGACAGACAGACAGACAGACAGACAGACAGACAGACAGACAGACAGACAGACAGACAGACAGACAGACAGACAGACAGACAGACAGACAGACAGACAGACAGACAGACAGACAAATAGATAGATAGGTAGATAGGTAGATAGGTAGATAGGTAGATAGATAGATAGATAGATAGGTAGATAGATAGATAGATAGATAGATAGATAGATAGATAGATAGATAGATAGATAGATAGATAGATAGATAGATAGATAGATAGATAGATAGATAGATAGATAGATAGATAGATAGATAGATAGATAGATAGATAGATAGATAGATAGATAGATAGATAGATAGATAGATAGATAGATAGATAGATAGATAGATAGATAGATAGATAGATAGATAGATAGATAGATAGATAGATAGATAGATAGATAGATAGATAGATAGATAGATAGATAGATAGATAGATAGGTAGATAGGTAGATAGATAAAATAAGAAAAAAAAAAAGAAAAAAGAAAGAAAAAAAGAATGTACTGTGATCCTTAAATTAAAAAAAAAGTGATTGCTGTAAATAAATGTGAAGATAGAAGAATGTGATAAATAAAACGAAACAAAATAAAACAGGACATCTACTTACTGCTGTCCTCTCCTCGTCAGCTCCTGTAAAAACGAAATATGAACATACTATAGTAACACAGGAAGAGGAAAAGCAGCCTGGAACAATGTTATGACAGGCTCGACTAGAAGGCCCTTTGCCTCAACTGCCATCTGGTCTAGGAGGGAAGCTCCGTCAGGTGCTGCTCTTCTGACCCAGCAGCTTCTGCAGCGTGCTTTGTTCCACATGTAATAGTGCTACCTTTCCTTTATAGTAAACAAGGCAGACCGAGAGAGGGATGGTCTCTACGATCATTTGCGATACTTCCCAAGCTTTGGGCTATGAAGAGAGGCATCGTCCAAATCCCTAATTATTTTTTAACGTTTTTTTTGACAGTCTCACCCGCCAACGCTATGGGCACGACCATCTCATCTGTAGCACAATGTAACACTATCAAGCTGACGGACGGAAAGGTGGCTACAGTATTGCACTGCTCTATTGCCCCCCCCCCTCCCCCCACCCTCTCCCCCACTAGTTGATCGAAGAAAAGGGAATGTGTTTGTTAATTAAATGTTGATTTTTTTAAAAATAGATGCCCGGTGGCTCCCGTGTCCTACTGTTGGGGTAGACAAGACTAGACCCATTGCCCCCCCCCCCCCCTTTCTCCCTCATCCCCCAACAGGCGTGTCACAAGAGTCGACTGACTGAGGTTTTTGTTGGAATGCATCTGCGTGAAAGGTGAAGAAACAACAGACAGCAAACAAATAAGTTAGATCTGTAAAAGGATGTGGAAGCAAAACTCAAGTTCTGGAGCAAGATAAGAATCCAGAAGTGGCCGAACAACAACAACTTTCCGTCGAAATTCACAGCCATTAAACGCAAAGGAGAAGGAGAAGATTATATAAAAAACAAAAAAACAAAATACAATTTGAAAAAAAAAAGTGTAATTCTTTTTGAGTGTCAAACTGGAAAACCTTTGTAATTTCATATTATTCATCACTAAACGACTTTTGGAGAATACAGTAACCAGTGTCTTTACCAAAGACTTCATTTCCAAGAGAAACAACAGGAAACAGAATCGTACCCAGTACCGGCATCGTTTTTCAGGCATCATTTTTTTTCAACGCTACTGAAATAATTACTTTGTGGCGAGTAACAGTACCTGTGTTAAAAAAAAAAAGGGTTGAGGGGGAAGTGGGGGGGGGGGGGGGGAGGGGGTTCAGCAAGCCCTTTAACTAATGTCGCTATCATCACGACAGGCCTAAAAGTATCTTTTTCTCTATCCAGTTATCCAGCCCTATGTGCTTTCATAGATATCGCATCATTATTGTTTTGCATCCAAATTCGCAGAGGTCTGTTTCTGTCTCGTTCTGTTCCTTCCTTCAATATTCTTTCTATTTCTAGGCCACAAAGAAGTTAAATATAGCCAGAATACCTCAACTTTCGGGCCAGGATACTGTTTATGAGCCAATTCTCTACGATAAATATATATTACTGATTTATGTAAATATTAAAATTTTTGTTATCGCTGTTATTATCTGTAGCTAGTATCAGAAACACGACTTACCACTTCTATCACATTTGACAAACTGGCACTGTACTTTGCCGTCGAGACATTGACATTGGAAACAGTCGTTGTTCTCTTGTGGAAACCAGGTATCTCCGTGTGTGTACTTGTGCTCATTATAGACACAACCTGTGGGTTTATGCAGTAAAGGTGGCACCATAAAAACCTTAAAATATATTGTATAAACCGAGATTATGCAACGGGAAAAGATAAATCAGCGGACACACTCTTCACCATCCTCATCATCATCACCATCATCATCATCACCATCATCATCATCACCATCATCAACATCATCATAATCATCTTCATCATTACAATCATCATCACCATTACCATCACTATTATCATCATCATCAACAATATCATCATCACTATCATCATCATAATTACCATATTAACATCATGCGAAGCATCACCACCACCGTCATCATTACCACCACCATCACCATCATCATCATCATCGTCATCATTAGCATCACAACCACCACCACCATCATCATCAACAACAACATCATCATCCTCACTATCACCATCATCACCATTCTCATCCTCACCATCAACATCATCATCAAAATCATCATCATCATCATCACCATCATCATCACCATCATCATCACTATCCTCATCACCATCAACAACATCATCATCATCAACATCATCATCCTCATCATGTTCTATGACAGTGAGAGTAGGCTGTCATATTTCCCTATCTCAAAGGCTCACCAGATTCCTAGATCAGGTCAATGTTCTTGTCTGCATCGTCCTTGTGGCCAAGCCATCCATGTATTTACCTCTTTGCGTTCATTTTTCTCTCATTTCATCAATCTTGCATGTGGATCAAAGGGTCTTGGGTTCAGGTCATAAGGGATCTGGAATTTTGGTTTGAAATAAAACCCCAGCCCCCAGGTCGACCCAACCTTAAATGGGTACTAGGTACAGTCTTGGGGGGAATAGGCGGCCGGTGTAATCTTGACCACAATACCCAAGGAGTGCCGATCGGCCTGTAAAATATATGTCTACCCCTATATGCCCAATGTGCCTGGAGGCGTGGAAAAAGACCATTTACTTTACTGTCTTCTCACTCGACGGTCTCCATGGTAACAAGCGCGCTTGCGTGCGTGCTCACCCAAAAGTGTTGACACTTTCAGATTACAACTTCTCATTCCTGGTGACAGACTAACAGGGCAAGTATGAGATACCTTGTTCAGTCTGCACATAAGTTATAATTCGGTCTTACTAGTCATATTCGACATCGCCATGGGCTGTGAGTCCCATACCTCCTCATAGCACATTCTAACACTATCGTCTGGAACGACGGAAAGATGCTAACCAATCAGGCCACCATACACGCTACACCTGGCGCTGTACGCTGAAGTCATGTGCAAGAAAGGATAAACCCTTCTTATCTCCAGTCTCGCTCTTACAAGGACATTTATTTGTTTACAGAAGACAATTCACAATTCAATGATATTGATCGTCACTTATAGAACAACAAAAGTTAGAAGACACAATTTTTAAAAAATGGAAAAAAAGGGGGGGGGGGGGGGGGGCTGAACAATGTAGACACATTCTAGTTTATTGTTAAACCAGAATCTTTCTTTTCTCGGCCCTAATCTGCATGCCATATTTACCGCAGACTGTCTCTAATTTTGTAGTAAGTTCTTGGATTTATGTTTTAATGGAACCAGCCATGAGATCTATGTCGTCTGCAAAACGTAAATTACATAGTTGTCTTCCACCAATGGATACAAATGTTTCACGATATTCTTAGAGAATAGCAGTCTGTTTATCTGCCTATCTTCTTTTATCCCACTAGGACATCACACAAGCGATAAACACCCGATGACACAAAGTGCCACCATGTGGTTGAGGATCACCCGTGGAGAGGTCCCAGAAACCGCGTTCAGCCATTACACCATATTTATGGCCGGGCTATATTGCGGCGCCTGGCAAGAGCCAAATCAGGGCTTCAAATAACGAAAAATTGCATCCCACAAGGGAATGACTAGTATTGTTGATAGCAGTCTATAGGATCTACGCATCAAGGATGAGAAGCGAAAGATGTCAGCTGAAACTTGTAATTATATGACAGTGGGTTAAACAAATAAACTGCTGTCTACATTCATTTTCTTCTGTCCGTGTCTGGTTATCTGTCAGCTGGGCCGTGGAACAATTTCCCTTGTTTTAGTGGGGCCGCGGCTGTTTGAGAAACGCTGATATAAAGGGCACGCAACAAACTTATACATGTCACTGTATGGCGTGTTTATTATCTCCCTTCTTGATAATGCCGGATTTGCCCCCCTACCCTTGTCCCCCTACCCTTGTCCCTGCCTTGAACATCTGTGCACTGGAAAGACTTGATGAACTCATCAACCTCTCACTAGTGATTGGGGGCCCTAACTGTCGTGATAACTCTCTGGCACTCCTGCAACCATAGGTGCCGGAATCTTGGAGCTCAAGTCCTATAGGCCCATCCCTTCCCCAGTATTCTAAAAGCTCACAACCCCCCCCCCCCCCCAACCCCCCACAATTTTGTAAGTAGACAAGTTTATTACAGTACAAGCAGATGCATTATTACCCGTATGGCATATTATCGATTGATCGATCAGTTTGTCCTCTCTGGGATGCTACCTAAAAGTTTACCAAGCCCTCCTGAGATGTAGAAAATAAAAATCTCAGGGTGGACAGTAGACGAACAAGGCAGATGGTAGATGCCCTGTTTAACCTTCAGTCAGCCAGATATAACCAGCAGTTCTAGGGGTAAAAGGGGCGGGGGTACATGTGTGGCGCATCAACAAATGGATTCTGAGGCCATGCACCAAATAGATTACATATTGTGCTTAGTACGTCTCCAGTGACGTCTCTTGTCATTGTATCTGACTGTGTGCCTTGTCTTTATACGAGCCACTGTATTTGCCTCACCTTGCCAGCAAGCATGGTTTCTTTTTTAGAGATTACAGGGAGCTCCCATTTCACCTCCTTTACGATCCGAAGATTTACGAGGTCGTGGTTGAAGAAATAGTCTTCTTATGTTCTTCTTAGCTTTCAATAGCTGTAAAACGGTGGAAAATGTTGGTTGTTCGTCCACTTCTGATGTGGTGTCAGAATCCAAGTTTTGCAAGCATATCCGTTTACAGATCTTGCTTATTACGGTTGGCTTTTCGCCTCTCAAACATATGCAGGTCGACTTCAAGGGAAACGCACCTAATCAAATGCCTTCTACGACACGCTTGTTGGAATTAGTGGGTTTATTCTTTTTTGGACTTAAAATAGTGACCGGGAACTCGCCCGGGGAATACAACGGGGAAGAAAAAGAAGAAGGTAGAAAATAAAGAGAGAAGCAATGTAAACAAACTAAGGGAGACACGTCATCCACATTTATCTACACTGAAAGACGTAAGGCAGGCACGATTATGTCCCTTATCTGGCTGCCATGATGTATTTATGTGAATACAACCAGGCAGAAAGATTCCTTGCCGAGCTGGCGAACTAGGTTTTCTAAAAACAAAACCGCAACGTAGACACATTTCTGGGAGCATGCTGAACTCTCATGATATTTTTTATTCGTTCCTCCTTTTCTTTATTTCTTGGGAAATTCCTAGATTCGCGCAATTTTTGCTTCAGAACTGCAGAAATGTAAGTAAGTGGGCGTGTATACAGTTTGCATTTCTTGGAGTTAGGAGGGGTTTAAAGTTGCATTTCCGGTTTTCGGCGACGTATTCGTGAATTATCCACTTGGTTCAAATCATACCTCTCTCTCTCTCTCTCTCTCTCTCTCTCTCTCTCTCTCTCTCTCTCTCTCTCTCTCTCTCTCTCTCTCTCTCATTTACCGTTCTTACTCCCCTCCCATTTCGTTATTGTGACTAGTATATTTTTTTTCACTTTCATTTTTTGGTGTGGATTTTACTTTCTTAATTTCCTTATTTTTTTTTTTTTTTTACCGAAAGCAACATTTAATCAATAATAGCCCGGGACTGATGAAAACAGGGAGACGACTTTCAATAATAATTTAGGCTCCTAACAGGTCGGCGTTTGTGGCTTAGACATTGGGAATCTGAAGTGCCGAATTTGATCCCACCTATGGGTGATTTAATAACAGACGGTCTTGCGTTGGCTTTGATAATGGTACCATGTGTCGACCGTCAGTGCAATGGCAAACTACTAAACGTAAAATTTACCCAGAAAAACCACAAATGCCGAAAATGCTGAGATTGGTTCTGTAACTTTCTGTAAAGGATATAAACGAAAAAACCATGGACAGACAGAGCAATGAAAACGTCTTGAAAGAAACTGACTCACGAAAGAGAAGTGATTGCCCTCATCAGAAAGAGACAGTCTACATTCTTTGGTCATGTGATGAGAAGGAGAAAACTGGAGTAGATCGTGACGTTGGGAAAGTTGGAGGGGAGGGGAGGCTAAGGGAGGCCAAGATAGAAGATGCTGGACAGTCTGACATCCGGGCATGGAAGATCAGGTTTGAGGTTTGAGGTTTGAACAACGGATCAACATCTTGGCATGGAAGATCAGATTTGAGGTTTGAACAACGGATCAACATCTTGGCATGGAAGATCAGGTCTAAGGTTTGAACAACGGATCAACATCTTGACATGGAAGATCAGGTTTGAGGTTTGAGGTTTGAACAACGGATCAACATCTTGGCATGGAAGATCAGGTTTGAGGTTTGAGGTTTGAGGTTTGAACAACGGATCAACATCTTGGCATGGAAGATCAGGTTTGAGGTTTGAGGTTTGAACAACGGATCAACATCATGGCATAGAAGATCAGGTTTGAGGTTTGAGGTTTGAACAACGGATCAACATCTTAGCATGGAAGATCAGGTTTGAGGTTTGAGGTTTGAACAACGGATCAAAATCTTGGCATGGAAGATCAGGTTTGAGGTTTGAGGTTTGAACAACGGATCAACATCATGGCATGGAAGATCAGGTTTGAGGTTTGAGGTTTGAACAACGGATCAACATCTTGGCATAGAAGATCAGGTTTGAGGTTTGAACAACGGATCAACATCATGGCATGGAAGATCAGGTTTGAGGTTTGAACAACGGATCAACATCTTGGCATGGAAGATCAGGTTTGAGGTTTGAACAACGGATCAACATCATGGCATA